TCTGCCACGGCGCGGCCTCGAGGTTTGGGACTCGTGTTGGGGTAAACTTTGGCGGCGGCCTGGAGTTACTTCCAGGGTCGGTCGGCCGCGCCGTGGCCGCGCCGTGGCCGCGCCATGGCCGCGCCATGGCCGCGCGCGCACTCGCGAGGCTCGAAAGCTGCAGGTTAAAAAGGCAAGTTGAGCGAGGCCGGCGGACTGGCGGGCACGCCACTGGAAGCCACGCCACTGGAAGGCTGGCTGCAGGCATAAACGTCAATCACCCTCCGGCCCTCCGGCCTCAAAAAATAAGGGCCGACGCGAAGGCACGACGTTGGAGGTTGGCGTTGAGGGCCCCGCACAGTGGGCCAGAAGGCTGGTGGCGGCCAAAATCCCGGACGCGTTTTGAGCTCCAGAGTCGCTAATTGGGACTCGAACCGAACGTGTGACCCCACCAATGGATTGCTCTACGAACGAGGAATCCATTGGTGGGGTCACACGCTCGGGTCAAGTCCCATTTACCGACTCTGGAGCTCAAAACGCGTCCAGAGTTTCGGCCGCCTCCACCGGTCTTCTGGCCCACTGTGCCCCGGCCGCCTCGGCAGCGGACGGAGAGCTTCTCGGCACGGTAACGGCCTTCCTTAGGGGCGCACCCGGAGTAATGTGCGTGTGTAAATTATGAAAAATTCAGCAGTACTCATGAAAGAAATTAGCCAGGCGTGACAGCTCCGCGCTCAGGTGACTTTCAATGCTTCCTGTACTGTTCCCCTTTTCACCTGGCTTTCATCAGTCCGGGCTCCACGCCGTGCGCCAGGACCGGGGTACTATCTCATCCACCACCAGTCAGCGGCGAATTTTCAGAAAATCTGCTCCGCATGAGGTTGGATCCATCCTCTGGCGCATCACTCACGCATGCTCGCCTCACTGCCTGCAAGAGCCCTCTCCTCGTCGTGTCCCGGCAAGCACCCCAGGTGTCAGGATTAGGCCAATCCCGGCGTGCAGGCTGGCTGCCTGCCTGGCCGTGTCCTTGCGGCGCACCGCACCAGCAAAGCGATTCCGAAGGACGTCTCTGTCTCTGTCGCTCTCGGGAGGTGCTTCCAGGGAGCGACAGAGACAGAGACGCTCCTCGGAAGAGAGAGAGAGAGAGAGAGAGAGAGAGAGAGGGAGAGAGAGAGAGAGAAGAGAGAGGAGAGAGAAGGAGAGGGGGAGAAGGAGAGAGGAAGGAGAGAGAGAGAGAGAGAGAGCGAGAGAGAGAGAGGGAGAAGGACGGAAGGCGAAAGGGGCACCTTAGGTCGCCGAGGCGGAAACAAATGAAAAGCAGAAAGGCGGAAGTGAGAGGTGGCGCCGCGGCGGAAAGTTTAGCCCAGCGGTAATCCACGCTTGTCCGTCCTTCTGTCCGTCCGTCCGTCCGTCGGTCCGTCCGTCTGTCCGGCAGTCCCCGGCTGTCCCTCCCGAGCCCCACCAAGCCCCACCTCCGTGCACAAGACCGCGTTTTTCTTTTTCTTAAATTTAGCCCCCCGGACCTCCAGAAAAGGACCCGGGTCGAATTCAAGTAGGTCCCGCGTGTTGTGCACCCGTGCCCAACTTATGCAGATCTAACGAGCCCTGATTGGCGCGATCCAAGTCCCGCATTATTGACGACCTTGTCAGAGAATAGGCGGAATATTGAGATTAAATGGAATCAGCTGGAATCCACTTGAATAAATCTGAATAATTGGTCAAGTCCCAATGCCGTTTTCGGCGTCCGTTCCCGTTCCCGTTCCGGCGCCGCGGTGCAGCCTGCGGTGCGCCAACCCTCGCGCCGCCTCTCTCTCTCTCTCTCTCTCTCTCTCTCTCTCTCTCTCTCTCTCTCTCTCTCTCTCTCTCTCTCTCTCTCTCGCACTCGCGCGCCGTCCCGCCTTTGCGTCCGGCGCGGCCACGCGGCGCCATGCGGTCACGCAGAGGTGCGAGAGAGACGGCTGCACGGCGCGCGATGAGGCCGGCCGTTGTCACGCGTGTGGCGCGTTCGCTTTGATGCGGCGCGCCGCCAACGAGACCGCCGCCATTTCGGTCGGGCGGCACGCGGTGGCAGACAGTTGGCCAGAAGACCGGTGGAGACGGCCAAAGCTCTAGACGCGTTTTGAGCTCCAGAGTCGCTAAGAGGAACTCGAACCGAGCGTGTGATCCCACCAATGGATTGGTCTTCGAACGAGGAATCCATTGGTGGGGTCACACGTTCGGTTTCAAGTCCTTTTTAGCGACCCTGGGGCTGAAAACTCGTCAAGGGTTTTGGCCGCCTCCACCGGTCTTCTGGCCCACTGTGCGGCACGCGGCGGCACCCGAGCCATTCAGAAGAGTCGTACCGTCGCTCTGTCTCTCTCGCACTCACGGGACTCTCCGTCAGGGTGCGAGAGAGAAGCGAGAATCGCTCGGCAGCACGGCGATGACAACATCAATCACGGGGCAGTTGGAGGGGCCGGGGATGCGTCGCCAACCGTGTGATTGGTTGTTGCGGTGGAGCCACGGTGGAACCGGCCGGCCCGGCCCCCCAGGGGGACGTCCGCAAGGTGACCCCATAATGGCCACAGACAACGCCCGGTCCAGCCACGCCTCCGCCCCTGCCGCTCTGTCTTTGTCGCACCGCCACGGGACGCTCCGTGAGTGCGACAGAGACAGAGAGACGGCGCCCGCTCGGGGTCGGCCTGCTGGCGCTGCACAGTGGGCCAGAAGACCGGCGGAGGCGGCCAAAACTCTAGACGCGTTTCGAGCTCCAGAGTCGCTAAATAGGCCTCGAACTGAACCTGTGACCCCACCAATGGATTGCTCTCCGAACGAGGAATCCATTGGTGGGGTCACACGTTCGGTTGGAGTCCCATTTAGCGACTCTGGAGCTCAAAACGCGTCTAGAGTTTTGGCCGCCTCCGCCGGTCTTCTGGCCCACTGTGCGCTGCTGGCGCTGCTGGCGCTGCTGGCGCGGACAGACCGCAGGCCGCCCGGCAGGTAGGCTTCCCTCCCCCCGCCGCGCGGCCGAGCGTTCGGGTTGCCTACCGCGCGGGCGTTCCGTAAAGTCCGTAAAGCGTTCCGCCGCGCAGCAGCGCAGCTCAGTCGCGCCTCGCGCCGTGCACTCCGCCGGCCAACCCGCGCCTCTCCAAGTCCGGGGCTGGCTGGGGCCCTCTGCGTCCTCTGCGGTGCGGGCCGGGGCGGCAAAGGCTCGCCGTCAAAGGCGGGAATCAACTCTGGGGCGGCCAGGGCCCCGCCAGCGCAGACTGATTCCGAACAGCGTTGCGTCGCTCTGTCTCTCTCGCACCGCTACGGCACGGCCCGAGAGTGCGAGAGAGACGGAGCTGCCGGCAGGGCGCTTAAATTTAGCTGGCCATGATGAAATTACCGGCGGGATCCATCTCCTCGCCGTCGCCATCTCGTCCCGGCAACCCCACCCCGCCCCGCCCCGCCTAGCCCCGCCCCGCCTCGCCGGGGATCCACTTTGCATACGTTCCCGTACGTTCCCCACTCCCCACGCTGCCTGCCGGCCTCTTTGAGTATTAATGCACGCATTGACCTGATTAAAACGGTACGGGTGGCGGCGCGGCGCGGGGCGGCGCGCGGTGGAGGTCTCCTTGGTATGACCTGGCCAGAGTGTCGCGGCGAAGCGAGCGAAGCGCCCCTTAAAACACACAACCCTTCACTTGCCGAGCGCTCTCCCTCTCGCCCTCTCCTCCTTCCCCCTGCTACTGCTGCACCGCTTCTCTCTCTCTCTCTCTCTCTCTCTCTCCCCCCTCTCCCTCTCCATCCTTCTCCTCGTCCTTTGCCACCTCCTCCGACCCTGCTGCTCCTCGTAGAGGCCGTCAGCAGAAACCCCCGCCCCCAATCCCATCCCCCTTTTTGCGATCACTCACTCTCTCTCTGTCTCTCTCTCTCTCTCTCTCTCTCTCTCTCTCTCACACACACACACACACACACACACAAACCACGCTCTCTCCCTCGCCCGCAACCCATCGGCCATATCGTCCTGCAATCCCGGCAGGAAGTTGAAGAGGGTGCAGGGGTGGGGGTGAAGGGTTGTATAGGTTCCCCCTAATTATTCGCAGACAAGAGGAAGCCACTATATGCAGTGGCGGGTGAAGAGGGCCGCGTACACTGGAAATCGAGTTGGCAATCACGGTGGGCCGACATACTTCTCAAAGCCGCGCGGGGAGCACGTGTTGGAGATTTTGGTGAATTCGGGACGGAAGAGGTCACATGAAGCTTTCCGACCACATTAGAGCGGGCGTTCGGACCCCAATTTTCTATGCCTTGACGGTGACGCGTTGATCACACTTTAGTTTGAGAGAAGTCGCTTGGCGAGGTGCTTCAAAATGTCGACAAATGTGTAATGTGTGAACGGTGTGGTGACGGGCCCACACCGCAGGACGAGCTTGGAGGCCCGGAGGGAGACCGGAAGCGGTCTGATGGATGAAGACTCGGTGCCTCATGGCCTTCTAAACGGCGAGCCGCAGCCTTGCAAGGAGCGGTGCAAGCGGTGCACCTCCAAGTGGGTCAGGGTTCACATCGCCGTGCAGCGCTCGCCGCGCTCGCCGCGCCGCCGGGGTGGCGTTTTTAAAAAATGAAGAGGAAGAATGGATCGAAACTGCATCGCAGGTCAAGGGAGGCGAAGACCTCTGCACCTTTAATGCGGGGACAGTCACGAGAACGTTTGACCGGGTCAGTCGAAACCGCGTCCATGCACAGTAAATGTCTTACGGTGAAAGGCTGCACCAACATATTGTGGTGGATATTTTCTCCATAATACCAACAAAATTCATCACAATATCTATAAGGCACAGTGGATTCTCAATTCTATGTTACGAAGTCAGCTGCACCACCATAAAATGGAACATTTTCACCATGGAAAATCTTCACTGTAGAACATTTAGAGTGTGCATCATGTTGGTCAGCGCACCGAAGCACATCTCGGAGTAAATGTTTACACGGCGCAACATGCACGCACGGACTTCACTGCGGTCGGACTGCGTGTGAGGGGAAAATAAGAGAGGAAACAAATCGAGTCGGTTGACGCGTTACTAAAAAATAGACCTATATTTAAGCGGTAAGAACGAGTAGAAAAGGAGCACAGGTGTCATAACGGCTGCGACTCGGTGAAGTACGTGTCCCTGATCTCCAGCAGGGCGCTGTACGTGCCCGACAGCAGCGCCACGAGCCAGAACAGCACGATGAGGACGTTCTTGGCGACGCGCAGCGCCGACGCGCCGGGCCAGGACACCACCAGGTCCACCGTGGCGGGGAACAGCAGTCCCAGCGAGGAGAAGCCCACGGCCCCCACCAGCGCCAGCACCGGCCGCAGGTTGGGCACCACCAGCGCCACCACCACTGTAAGTCACGTGGGTAAGTCAACAACAACAACAACAACAACAACAACAACAACAACAAGAAGAAGAAGAAGAAGAAGAAGAAGAAGAAGAAGAAGAAGAAGAAGAAAGAAGAAGAAGAAGAAGAAGAAGTGGCGTACTGACCCGTGAACAGCACGGTGCCGGCGCGCAGCAGGTTGTAGGCGGCGTCCTTCCGCGCGTCCGGCACGCGGTGGTGCAGGCCGCTCCACAGGGTGACGGGCACCACGTACAGCTGCAGCCCGTACGACAGCAGCACGCCCAGCGGGATCACCACCTTCACGGCCTGCGCCGCCCTGCGGCGACACAAAGGGCACGGGTTCGAATACCGGCCTCACCATTGGTTTTTACTGTTTTTGTCAGTTGTTTGCTCACGGCTCGGCGATGGGCAGGTTGAGGATGATGTTCTCCCGCGTGGCCTCGCCGAACGCGACGAAGCCGGCCGCGCCGATGAAGATGTAGAAGAAGGCGATGATGGCCATGGACCAGACCAGCACGTTCCTGCCCGCCACCAGGTGCTGTGGGTGCCGCATCGTGTTCTCCACGGGCAGGATCTGCAACAGCAGCGGCAACGTGTGGTTCGCGGCTGTCTCTCCCGCACCTTCGCGACAGACCGATGCACAGTAGACCAGAAGACTACCCACCACGCCGATGTTCTCCATGCCGTAGATCATAGCGCTGAGGTAGAGTGGGTAGTCGCTGACGGAGCCGTACTGGCGCACCGTCAGGGGGCTGGGGGCGTCCTTGAGCACGTAGTACATGGTGATGCTGAGCCCCGTCAGGAAGAGCGAGTTGCTGGCGTGCGACAGCGGCACCAGCCACTTGAGGTCGCGGATCATCCCCATGGCCATCACGAAGGGCACCAGCATCAGGATGTAGAAGCGCACGTTGAGCTCGTACTCGGTGTAGTGCTGCACCAGCTGCAACAGGGAATGAATGAATGAATGAATGAATGAATGAATGAATGAATGAATGAATGAATGAATGAATGAATGAATGAATGAATGAAGATGAATGATGAATGAATGAATGAATGAATGAATGAATGAATGAATGAATGATGAATGAATGAATGAATGAATGAATGAATGAAATGATGAATGAATGAATGAATGAATGAATGAATGAATGAATGAATGAATGATGAATGAATGATGAATGAATGGCTGCATGAATGCATGAATTGATGCATGAATGCATGAATGGATGCATGAATGGACCCAAATACAAGAGTAACGAGTGTATCACTTTTTTTCGAATGCATTGCTTCAGTCACCAAGACTCTCCAAAAATCGAGAAAATGGCGAAGGGTTTGCTGTCATCCCCGCTCCGGCAGTGCCGCCTCGACCCACCCCGGGGATTAACGTTGATCCGGGGGAAGGCCGGAAAGTCCGGGTTCAACTCCCGCCTCCTCTTTTTTTCCCTCCCTTTTCTTTCTGCCCCCTTGTCGGTCCGTAACTTCATGAATGGGGCCCAAGTTGGGTGCAGCACGCCGATTCCGAGAGTCTTTTTCGTCGCTCTGCCTCTCTCGCACTCATGGGGCGTCCCCTAGAGGTACGAGAGAGACAGAGCGACGAAAACGACTCTCGGAATGAGTCTGCAGTGCGGGGGCAGCGCTGCGAGTCGCAAAGCGGTCGCTCTGTCTCTCTCGCGCTGATGGGTGCTCATGGGGCGCGCCGTCGGGGTGCGACAGGGACAGAGCCACTGTTCGGAAAGGCCCGGCGCGGAGGCATCCGGGAAGGCATCCGGGAAGGCAGCCGGGAAGGCAGCCACACCGAGTGGCAGCGAAATTTTAAACTCGCCAACAATTGCGCAACTTTGGCTGAAGCGAATGCAGCCCTACACTGCACTGCAGCGCGGCAGCCTCGGCGGCGCTGGGACTGGAAACGCTGCCGGAGCGGAACGCGCCACCAGCACAGCGTAACACGGCGTAGCACGGCGGCCCTTCATGCGGCGGAGTGCTCTCGTCGCTCTGTCTCTCTCGCACTCGTGGAGCGCCCCGCGTGGGTGCGAGAGAGACAGAGCGACGAGAGCGAACTTCGGTGGCAGTCAGCCTGCAGGCTGCATCGAGAGAAGTGGAGTTATTTTGCTTTTGCAGACCTTTTCGCGGCGCGGCGGCAGCAGCGTGGCGTGGCGTGGCGTGGCGTGGCGTGGCGTGGCGTGGCGTGGCGTGGCGTGGCGTGCGGCGCGGCGTGGCGTGGCGTGGCGCGGCGTGGCGTGGCGTGGCGTGGCGTGGCGTGGCGTGGCGTGGCGTGGCGTGGCGGGCGTGGCGTGGCGTGGCGTGGCGTGGCGTGGCGTGGCGTGGCGTGGCGTGGCGTGGCGTGGCGTGGCGTGGTGAGCGCATCGCGGAAGCCGGGAAAAGTTTCGCTTGCAAGCGCAGCGTAGGCCGCGCAGGGGAGACGAGGAGGCTGTGTTTACGCGTGCGTGCGCTCGTTCGTGTGTGTTGGTGTGTCGACGCGCAGGTGTGTGGGTGTGAGTGAGCGAGAAGGTGTCTGTGTCGTCTGCGGGTAGGCCGGCTGGCTGGGGTAGGCGGCGGGGTGGAAGGGGGAGGGGAGGGGAGGATTGCCGCTGGTTGCGCCCGGCTCGTCCCGGCTCGTCCTTCCGCTACAGCGGTCCTCAATGGTCGTGATCTAGGAAAGTGCTCCCTCTTCCCTCTCTCTTTCTCTCTCCTTCTCTCTCCTCTGCATCTTCCTCTCCCTCTTGGTGGAGAGGTGGGCGTGGCACCGCGAGGCACCGCGAGGCGCTGTGCTGAATGCCCCTTTGACAAACCACCCGCACGAAGAACACGCGGCGGAACAGGTGTCTCTCTCTGTCTCTCCAGCCCCTCCAGTCGCTCTACGTCCTCTCTCTCTCTCTCTCTCTCTCTCTCTCTCTCTCTCTCTCTCTCTCTCTCTCTCTCTCTTCCTCTTCTCTCTCTCTTTTCTCTCTCTCTCTCTCCCCCCCTCTCTCTCCTCCTCTCTCTCTCTCTCTCTCCCTCGCTCTCTCTCCCTCGCTCGCGGTGCCGCCGCCGGGCTCCTCTGCAGGATCGCGTTTATTGGTCGAGGTTTTTACGAGCGAAGCCTTCGTTAGAGAGACAGCCGCGTGATTCCGCGCTCCTCTCCCTCGGTTTGCACTAGAGTGATTTCGGCGTCCTTCTCTCTCTGGTTCCGCTGGCGGCCTGGCGGCGTCGGTGCCTCTCTCACTCGCCGCCCTGTCAAGAGGCACGCCGTCGAGGAAAGGCCCGGGGCCCCGAGACTCCTGTAATCACGGGCGCTGTTTGCAGGCCCGGATATTGTCGGGCCGAATTAAAATACGCGGGAGAATGGGTAAAGCTACGCCCAATTTTCGAGCGTGGCTTGTGCAGTGTGAAGGAAAGGAATGAGAGCGAAACAGAATGGCCTGTAGTCTGTCGGTGGGCTGAGGTAGGAGACCCATGCACCACTAACACTGCTGCATCGTGGACCATCTGTCTGGTCCTATCACTATCGCACCCTCTTGCGGGTCATCCTTCTATTTGGCCACGTTTTTCTTTCGTCTTGCTTTGTTTTTCCAGAGGTGTGACTGCCCCAGACGCCCGCCTCCCTCGTGCATTTTGCCGCCAACCTGAGCGGCTGTCAAATGCCCGGACCGAGCTGCTACCGCTGCCACCACGAGCTCATCGGCCAGGAAATACCCCACGCTCAGCGTCCCTGCGCGCGCGGAGTATGTCCGCCTGAGAGCGCGCGCCCCGCAGCGCTACCCCACGCCGCGAGGAGGGCGAACCCGAGCGAACCGAACGAACCCCAGACTAACCTGTTGCACCGACGTCGAGATGACGACGATGAAAATGATGGGCAGCCCCAGGTACGTGAAGCAGAGCATGAAGTTGACCATGAAGCGGCAGGCGCGCGCGTACCGCCGGATGCGGGAGTGGCCCGTCAGGAAGGCGGCCTCCACGGTGCTGGGGAAGTCCAGGCTGGGGACGCGCAGCCGCTTGCAGAGAACGCGCGAGTTGTTTACCTGCGTCACAGTCACACGTGTCACTGCCGAGCGAGAGCCACTGTAGGTAGAGCTGTGTAGAGTGAGTACCAGCAGCGTGCAGCAGTGCGTGCAGGCCACGGCGATGACGACGCCGCTGAGGACGCCGACGGCCAGCCCGCTCATCTTGAAGCCCAGCGAGATGGCCAGCAGCCCGGCGCCCATGGCGCCCTTCAGCAGATGGGCTAGCGCGCCGACGTTCCTGTAACACTGCGGTGATGAGCATAGCAAGAGGTGCGATTTACCGTGCAGCCCGAGTGCACCAAGTCCAACCATGTTACGCAGAGGCCAACGGCGTGGTCATACTCACGAGTACGGCAGTCGCACCACCCTCTCGGCCAAGGGGTCATAGTCGGCGTCCTCTCGCCAGGGCTGGTCGGGCTGTCCGGGCGGCGGGCCTGGCGGTGGGGCCCCTGGCTGGCCGGGCGGCCCGGCGCCCGGTGACTTCTCCTCCACTGCCTTCTCGGCCTGCCCCTGCGCCGCCCACGGGGACACCTTGTTGCGCGCCTTCATGCCGACGGAGGACCTGTCGCAAACCCGCGATAAGAAGACCGGTGAGGAATCGAGACCTCGGAAAAAAACATGACTCTGCCTCTCTCGCTCCCAAGGACGTCCCACGAGTGCGAGAGAGACAGAGCAGCGCGGCGGCACTTTTCCGAATCAAGCTGTTGCTGCAGCAGTCGGCAGCAGCGCGTCGATAAGAAGACAGTCGAGATTGGCTGCTTCCTTCCGCCTGGCAGTCGGCAAAGGAGAGACGGCGATACTCTGTGCCAAAGAGACTTTTCAGTTCCCGTCAAATGGGCCGCGTGCGGCGCGCGGAGTATCGGCGGGCCGCACACTGACCTACCCCAGCCGGTTTACGGGCGCCCCCGTGTGTGTTGCCGGCCCTACAGGTCCTCCAGTCGGCCGCAGTCATTACAGTAGCCCCATTTCGCGGAGGCCAATCAGCGGCAAGGCCGTCTGTAACGGTCGCCCCGTCTCCCTCGCACCCCCAAGGGACCGCCCCGACGGTGCGAGAGAGACAAAGCGACGCGGTCAGTGTTCGGAATCGCAGCCCAGGAAGACCACTTTGAGGCCCCACAGTGGGCCAGATGACCGGTGGAGGCGGCCAAAACCCGAGACGCGTTTTGAGCTCTAGAGTCGCGAAAAGGGGCTCGAACCGAACGTGTGACCCCACCAATGGATCGCTCTCCGAACGAGGAATCCATTGGTGGGGTCACACGTTCGTTTCGAGCCCTTTTTAGCGACCCTGGGGCTGAAAACTCGTCTAGAGTTTTGGCCACCTCCACCGGTCTTCTGGCCCACAGTGGCCCGCCTGCTGGCGGATAGTGTTCAAACGGGGCGCTGCATTGAGCATTGTTGACGATGGTGCGTCGCTACCCCTAACCCAAGAGACTCTCAACGCCGCCAGTACGGGCAGCCTCTCGAACGCGGGGTAGCGACAATGCTTCTGTTCACCAGGTAGCGTCAATCGGTCCGTGTCCCGGCCGCGAAAGGCGTGACCCAGTCGATACTCCTCGAGTGACTTGCTGGCCACATCACCGCATCATTGCTTTCTCGCCCGGTGCACAGTGGGCCAGAAGACCGGTGGAGCGGCCAAAATTCGAGACGCGTTTTGAGCTCCAGAGTCGCTATATGGGACTCGAACCGACCGTGTGACCCCACCAATGGTTTCCTCGTTCGGAGAGCAATCCATTGGTGGGGTCACTCGTTCGGTTCGAAACCCATTTAGCGACTCTGGAGCTCAAAACGCGTCTCGAATTTTGGCCGCTCCACCGGTCTTCTGGCCCACTGTGCGGTGGTCCTCCACCATTCAGGCGGCGTCCCGTGAGGGCGCGAGAGAGACAGACGGAGACAGGGCGGAAAGGGTTAGCAGTGGGGGCGAGGCCTGGCGCTAATCCGTTAATTTGTTTGAGACTGAAAGTCGCCGCGAGATAGGACGGCACGCTCCGTTGCACCATGGAAGTCGTATCAGACATCCAGCACGTGTCAGACATGACCGAGACACTGCATGACGAGCGCGTTGAGTTGATTCACTCGCGTGTTTAGTACCACACTGTACTACAGGTGTAAAATTTGGCCATTGACATCTTTCATTATCAAAGTGGCGTGCAATAGGCTATTGCCCTTGTCCACCCACACACGCTGCTACCTTTCCTCGACAAAATCTGTCAACTGACGCGACATTGTAAGTACACAACTGTTGACAATAGTTGTGTCCCATCTAGAACACCTTTGCCGCGGTGAGCAGTGACTCATGGTCAGTGCCCGTGTTTTAAACAAAAACATAAATTGAACAGTAAAAGTGGGTCACGACGCTATTTTATGGCACTTGCAAGTCTGCGGCAGATAACGAGACTCGCGGAAAATAAAAGCGGAGTTACTTAGTAGGGCCCGCCGGCCCCGCTGGGCCGCTGGTTCGGAATTCTCTCTGCTCGACGCGTCCCCGCCCCGCGGCCACCCGCGGGTAGCATTGTCATCGTTGTCATCCGGTGCTGCGCTACGCTTTGAAATGAAAATGGCGTCCCACAGTGGGCCAGAGGACCGGCGGAGGCGGCCAAAACTCTAGACACGTTTTGAGCTCCAGACTCCAGAGTCGCTAAATGGGCCTCGAACCGAACGTGTGACTCCACCAATGGATTCCTCGTTCGGAGAGGTATCCAATGGTGGGATCACGCTTGGTTCGAGTCCCATTTAGCGGCACTGGAGCTCAAAACGTGTCCAGAGTTTTGGCCGCCTCCGCCGGTCTTCTGGCCCACTGTGCGTCCTGGCTTCGCGAGTTACTCGCAAGGAATCTTTGATCGCCGCCCCCGGGTTTTTGATATTCCGGTTATTACTATTAATCCATAAAAATGGCAAGCGAGTGGGGGAGCCAGCAGGCCTGGCTGTTTCCAAACAGCGGTGTCGTCGCTCTGTCCCTCTCACTGTGCGAAAAAACCACAGTGAATCCTGTTAATTTTTTTGCCGGGATTTACTGTAGTCCAGAACACAGGATTTACTGTGCCTGGCTACAGTATTTACTGTACCTGGTACAGGATATTCCGTACTCCACTCCTGTGGTACAGTAAATCCCGTACAAAGTACAGTGGATCCTGTAAAAAAGGTACAGTAAATCCTGTACTCTGAACTACAGTGACAGCTGTACTAATCACCACAGGATTTACTGTGATTTTTTCTCACAGTGCTCGCGCGCGTGGGGCGTCCCGCAGGCCTGCGATAGCGTGCGAGAGGGACAGAGCGAGAGCGCCTCCGCAATCATTCCTTCCCTCCGGTGGGGAAAAGCCGCCGCCGCCGCCACACAGTGGGCCAGAAGACCGGTGGAGGCGCACTGAAAAACCAAACGTGGTCCAGAGCGCCAAATGGAACTCGAACCAGTGTGACCACACCAAAAATTCGGGGTTGGAGAGCAATCCATTGGTGCGGTCAACAAGTTCGGTTTCCCATCGTCGGGGCCAAAACCTCTAGAGGGGTTGGGCCTCCAGGTTTTGCCAAATGGAACTCGAACCGAACTTGACGCCGCCGGCTCCCGTTCGGAAAGCATCCAAAAATTGGCCGGCGCACAAGTTTGGTTTGTCCCAGGACCCCAGGAGAAAACGCCTTCCGTTTTGGCAGCCTACCCGCGGGTTTTTTTTTTTTTTTTTCAAGCAGCCGGCGGATTTTCTAGAAACTCCGCGCATGCGTATCGTATGGCTTCTTGATTATGCATCTAGGTCAGGCGCGTCCGACGCGCTCTCTTCCGGTGTGTTGACTATTTTCTCCATGCAGTAAAAGTAGTAAAGACGATAATGAAACTTCAGTCAGCTCGATTTCGGTTTCTGACAGTGTGGTGATTGTGTCCTCTGGGGAAATAAAACCGTTCAAAGAGAAAGCTCGAACGACGCGGCGGTTGCGTCTCGTTCTTTTTGTCGGTGTCACTGAATGTGGGTGAGGGCCGCACAGGGCCGACGGGCGCCTCACAGTGGGTCAGAAGACCGGCGGAGGCGGCCAAAACTCTAGACGCGTTTTGAGCTCCAGAGTCGCTAAACAGGACTCGAACCGAATGTGTGACCCCACCAATAGATTCCTCGTTTGCAGAGTAATCCATTGGTGGGGTCACACGGTCGGTTCGAGTCCCATTTAGCGACTCTGGAGCTCAAAACGCGTCTAGAGTTTTGGCCGCCTCCGCCGGTCTTCTGGCCCACTGTGCGCCTGGCCCGGCTAAGCCGGTAAGCGCGTGACCACAGGAAGCCAGGACGTCACGCCGGAGCCAGTTGCCCGGCAACGAGGATCTCGGGGCGTCCTCCTCCTCGCGGCCGCCCGTTCGCGATCCGCGAATACGCAAGCAGCGGTCTCTCTCGCACACCCAGAGGGTCGCACCGCGAGTGCGAGAGAGACCGCGACGAAAAGCGCGCTTCGGACTCGGCCGGTGACGCCGCGAGGCTGGAAAACCGGACCCGCGGCCGCCGGCGAGGAGCACGACGTCGAACCACGCCATCTCGCCGAACCAAAAACAAGTTCAATTTCACTTTCGGCGGTTTGTGTTCGTACCTGAGGAACTCCATGGCCAGGTCGGCGCGCTCGGTGTCTAGCATGGCGGCCGGCATGGCGACGGTGGCGTGCGGGTCAAGTCTCACAATCACCGCCTAGTCCTGTGGGGGCGGCTGGGCTGGCTGGCCTGTCTTCGCAGTGGAGGTCCTGGGTCCATCCCCGGTGCGCACAGCGTCGCACGGCGTCGCACAGCAGCCGAACGCACGGGCTGACGCGGCTCGCGGCTCGGACTCGCGGACGCAACACGCTGCGAACACGGTGCGATGACAGGCGTCCGTGCGCGACCACCGCACAGCAAGAATGAAGAGGACCCGCGGAACAACACAGACAGGCACGCGGCGGCGGCAAGGCGGCGGCAAGGCGGCGCGGCGCGAAGCGGAGGAACAAGGAGAAGGAGGAGAAGGTGAGAGAGGAGGAAGGCGGGAGGCGCAGAGGCACGAGAACGCGGACGCCGCAGTGGGCCAACGGCAAGCCAACGGCGAGCCAACGGCCTTCCACTGATTTCAGCTATCATCCAATTTCTACCTCGCGTCTGTGTTCGCTAAACGTGCGCCTTTCCGTCTTTCTCGGACAAAAGGAGGAGATACTGTATCTGGGCGTGACGACGCGCGGACACGACACGGACGAGGCAAGGCAGCAGGTAGCCGCGCCGATCCCCCAGCCGATCGCGAGGCCTCGCCTTGGCTTTGGCATCAGAGTGTGACTGTCTGCACTTCCTCATTTCCTTTCCGTCGATGCGCGTGTGGCTCGGCGACGTGGCGTCAGCATGTCCGGCCAGAAGGGTGGCACACTGCGAAGCTTGCGAAGCCCTCGGCCAAGCCGCCGGTCGCAAATCCAGTCCGCGGTTAGCACGTCCCGCCCGAGGCAACCCAAGGCCGCGTGGGCCTTCCCCGTACTTCCCCGCGCGCGACTTGCCCCCTCCTCCGCGCCAACAAGTGCAGCAGCCAAGATGCGCCGCGCTGCGCCCGCCCTCCCACGCCTCACCCTCACCTTACCCCTCCCCTCCCCCCCCCCGTGGCCGTGACTCGCGTCCCGCCGCCCCCCCACGCCGCACCCCCCGCACGGCACGCCCGGCACGCCGCCCGGCACGGCACGCCCACGCCCCCGGCCGGCACGCCGGACGGCACGCCCGCACGGCGCCCGCACGGCACGCCGCACGGCACGCGGCACGGCACGCCCGGCACGGCACGCCCGGCACGGCACGCCCGGCACGGCACGCCCGGCAGGCGGGATGGCTGGCCGCAGCAGCCCTCCTCCCGGGCTTTACACGCGCAAAGCACGAGGAGGAAAATAAACATTTGAAAAGTGGTAGTATGCCGGGGAGGGGGTGGGGGGACAAAGCCGGGCAAAGCCCTGCAGCCTTGTCGGTCGAATTTAGAAACTCGGGGCGCGCCGAGTCCTTGCCCTTGGACAGGTTGGTCTGGTCTGGGTTTGGGTTTGGATGTCGTCGCCCGCGGCCCGGCAGAGGCAGAGGGCCTAACCCACCCGCGACCTACCCGCCGGCCGTGGTATCGGATCGGACCGATTTAGACGCGCGTCGCGAAAGCATTGACCCTGCGAGGCGAATCCCACACAAAAGATGCGCCACTGCAGACTGACTCGCTCTGTCTCTCTCGCACCTGTTCGGGACGCCACGTGAGTGCGAGAGAGACAGAGCGACGCAAACGACTCGCCGGATCAGTCTACCGGCGGGAGTGAGCAGCGCGAGCGGTGTGATTTACGGAAGAAAAGAAAGCCTCGCGGCACTTGCACTCACGTGCTCACACACGCGCACACAATGAGGGACGGAAATAGTCAACAAGACTCACGCACGCCTCCGCCACGCGAGCGCCCCCGCAGAACTGCCAGGGATGCACGTCTCGGGGATTATGCTATGCGGAAGGACTGCACAGTAGCGCAAATTTCCGTTTGGACAAAAAATACAAAATATACCAAATTGGCGTATGTCGTGCCGGAACACTCCCTCGTGGCTCCTGTCACTATGTTGGGGGCCAGTTTGGCTCTGAAGTTTGGCGAAGAACTGGAAGTATTTGAGACTACGCCGCATGGGTACACTGTGAGAAAAAAGTACGGAACATGTCTGGTCAATAATTTGCCTGGACCGTCCGTACTTTGCCAACTACGGAACGTTCCGTACCTTTTTTCCGTACCCATTTACATGGGTTCATATGGAGCAAGTACGGAACGTTCCGTACTTTTCTCCGTACCTCCGTACGATATTTTTCTGTACCATTTCCGTACAAAAGTACGGAATTTTTTACAGTGTAGGCGGCAACCCATCCTCCACACCGCTCCAGAGCCTCATCTGGCGTTGCGGGAAATGTCATTTTTAGACCAAACTAGCTCAAGGCGAGGCCTTATAGGTCGAGCCCGTAGGGAGAGTAGTTTGCGGACAAGTGAATTTGTGCGTGTTTGAACAGAGGATTGGTGTGGGTGATAAATCGTCAAAATCAGAATGAAAGCCTTAAAAAGACTGTAAGGTGGATCACGGACCCCGTGTGAGATGGTTACTATGCAACCCACTTGGAGCCCTGCATCCGGGCTTGCCTATGCGGCAGTCCGCGGGCGTACGGGAGGCCTAGGGTGGCCACCCGTCAAGTCCCGTCCTGCCCAGCCCCAGTTGTCGTACTGCGACCGCGGACACCACGTGGCCTCCACGAGGGCAGTCCGCGGATTTCGCGAGTCCTCTCGCAGGCTTCGCGATGGGACTTGACGGGTGGCCACCCTAGGCCTCCTGTTCGACCGCCGAATGCCGCATAGGTAAGCCCGGATGCAGGGCTCCAAGCGGTAGCAGCAACAGCAGTCCGACCCAGACCCAGAGCAGACCTAGAGAGCCTGGAGTGGAGCCACAGTATCCAGGCTCTCTAGTCAGACCCCCGCCCTCCACAGCAGCCAAAGCGCAACCGGCATACAGGACATGAGCCCCGTCCCGTTTGAGCCCCGATGGTCTGAGCCCCGACCTGAGCCCCAACTTGAGCCCGGGTTGAGCCCCGACTTGAGCCCCGACCGAAGCCCCAATTTTCAGAGCCCGGATTGAGCCCCGACCTGAGCCCCGTTTGAGCCCCGTTTGAGCCCCATTTGAGCCCCATTTGAGCCCCGCGACCTGAAATCAGGCATTTTTGCATGATTTATTGCCACGGGGCTCAAGTGGGGCTCAAATTGGGCTCAAACGGGGCTCAGGTCGGGGCTCAATCCGGGCTCTGAAAATTGGGGCTTGGGTCGGGGCTCAAGTCGGGGCTCAACCCGGGCTCAGGTTGGGGCTCAGGTCGGCACTCTCATTCCAGGAACGTGACATCACGTTGAAACGAACGTGACAACATGTCACGTTCGTTTGAGCATTGTGTCACATTCGTTAGAGTGTGAATTGTCCAAAAAACAGCTTGTTCACATTCAAACGAACGTGACACAATGCTCAAACGAACGTGACATTTTGTCACGTTCGTTTCAACGTGATGTCACGTTCCTAGAATGAGAGTGGGGGCTCAGACCATCGGGGCTCAAACGGGACGGGGCTCATGTCCTGTATGCCGCGCAACCGACCACCTCGTGCGGGTGGGGGGGGGGGGGGGGGCATATGGGGTTCGAAGCACCGTCGGCCCCACATGAGCTGTGCGACCTGAGCGGCGAGTTTGAACTTGTGGTGTGCTTCATTTGACGCTCTTATACTTTGTGGGCTTAGCTCGTAATAACAAGTAAGACCAAATGCCAATTCTTGTAAAAGAAACACGGAAATTAGCTTTAATGTGGAAAATTTGCCCTCGACAAGCGTAATATCGTCAAACGAAGCACGGCCCACGCCAAATGCTCAACACAACCCAGTTCAAACTTGCCGCTCAAAAGGAACAACTCATTTGTAGTTCCAAGGGTGGCCACCACGCCTGGCCAGGCGGCGCGCGAGGCAGGCAAAAGAGTTCCCCTCATCGAGTCCCGACCCCCAAGTGCCGGTGCCATGAGCATTGGCATTGGCTACTGGCATTGGACTGATCCAAGTTGAATTTGGGTAAAAACAGAACAAAGTAGAATGTGCGTAGTGGTTCAAGATTTATTTCCGAGTTACATTTGTATCTCTCCAGTCAACACAAATAAAAAAATTAAAAATACAAAATAATCAACAAAATAGGTGACAACATAAACTTTGGTTTGGGTTGTTTAAATACTTAAATTAACAAAGTACTATCCTTAAATTGCAATCAATCTTTCCAAAAGGATCGATCTATATAGAAGCTCCTACAGTAATTACGGTTTAACTCCATTCTACAATAGTTACAATGCAGGACCAGCTCTCTATTTAAAAACGAATCAAATGGAAAGTTTGGAAATACGGGCAATAGAGGATGGGATGGATCACTTTTAACTAAAGTAAAATTATTTACTGATATGTCAAAAGTCAAAATTAAATATTGAGAGTAACAGCAAAAATTAACAGGGACCTTCAATAGCTGAAATGAGACCAAGAACTCAAGGTAAATATAAAGTAATAAGTCTGGATGTTGCTTGTATGGTATTGAACAGTAATGATAATAATTAGATTGTCTAAACAGGAAAATGACTGGTCAGATAGAGGAGCAACCAAACGACACGCATACACACACACGGACAAATTTTTATGAAGCCTCTATGGCTAGACAAAGTGTGTTGAGAAACGTAAAAAAATAAATTTCTCAATCACAATCAGTTGTAATCAAAAAATCAAATTGATTCCAAAAGAACAAGGCAGTTACACAAAAACACACAAAGACACCACACTGTTTGTGAGCACTAAAAATAAATGAGACCCGCCTTAATGGTTCCATCATTGTCATTATCAATGCATTAGACAATGGTAAAGGGTTGAGCAAGACAAAGATTCATAAAGGACTGGTACAATAATGCGAGAATTCCCCAGTGAGGGCTAACTTGCAATGAACAATTGTTTGATTGGTTTCAAGCACAATTGTTTGATTAGTTTTAAAATCATATAGACAATTGTCAACGAGAAAACACAGACACTAAATGCTTCAGAATGTTCTGAACTACCTCAAACACCAATCAAATAAAAAGGTTGAACCATAAATTGTACACGACTAAATTTAATAACCAACCATTTCGACACAATAAAATACACTGAATTCCTCAGTCATATGTGCCACAGGCTCACATTTTTATCAAGAATAGGTTCTTTCTGTTATCAAACAGAAATATGACCCACTACATTACTTCCTCTGTAACTCTTCTAACTCTCTTATCTGGTACAGTATCATCAGACAATGTACTTTAACCTAATAGTAATACATTACACAGCTACTAAACATACTTTAGAATACCATACACAATTTTATCACAGAAAGATATGAAATAAAAGCAATTTTTGGTTTAAGCATCAATTACTTATGATAACACTGTAACAAACCTGCACTTTCCATGCTATGGGACAGTACAGCAAGAAATTGCGTGATCTGGAAAAAAAAGTCAATGTTGTCTTTCATGAGATGATGTTGACCAAGTAACCACAATTAGGAAAGAGCCTCACATTTTGTTAGGAACCTCAAGTGCAGAAAAGCATTCACACACTGCATTCATTATTGAATGAGACACTACCTCTTACAATGTGAAATTACGAACTATAATTTGATGTTCTAAATAACGGGAAGCAACTCGCCTCCATAAGAAAAAATAATCTGAAAGCCTATGATTAACAGTGTCAAGAGCGCAATAAATAAAAGCACCCTTAAGTATGTACATTTGTAACGTGAATCTTTGACTACAGAGTGCTCTATCTCTCATGGAGTTGCAAATGAGAGGAATGGAAACTTTACACCAGAAATAATGGCTTAAGTTTTCAATAAGGTGCACACAAGGAGCTTCACACCTCTTCAAAATAAATGCACAACTCAAAACTTTTTTTAAAAAAGTAACAATTATGCAGTAAAAAACATACACTCGCATTAATTGCAATTTGTCAACAAATGTAACAACATGTCCATCAACTTAAACATTAGTCGTACATAGCAACAAAGTTGATAAGGACCTCAATCAGACTAAAAAAAACAAAAGGTTTTTTAAAGTAAGAGGTACAAGCAGGAACTTAACATACAGGGGTAGGGTAGTTGTACACAACTAGTGTCATCTTGAAACGTACTTTGGAAATAATGAAGAACAGTCATTTTTCTGCTGTTTGTCAGATACGGCGACACCAAATCTTCTACACATCAGTATTTAAGCCTTGGTAGACAAGAATCATGGAAAAAAAAAACTCAAGACATCAACAACTTCATGAATTGCACATTCTCCTTTCTGAGCTCATTTCTGAAAAAGGAACCTAAATTGAGACAAAGATCCACAAGGGAATGTCAGGGAACTAAAAAAACAAAATTCCCATAACAGGTTATGCAAGCAGCATACTCATAGAAGAGGTAGGGTATGTTTTTGTTAACCAAACAAAAACAGTATACTAATATGAACAACATTTGTGCAAAGTGTGCGGATACAATAACACAGGAATCAAATTGAGAGCACAATATTATTGACATGGGAAGTATTGAGTTTCTAGAGTTATGAACTGTTACAAATAATAATTGCTCGACCATAACATAAAATTTCAGTCACAACTAGTATTGCTGGTCTAGTAAATTTAAAGAGTCTATTTAGACAAGCAGTTTTGCATAAACTAGGATCACATGAACATGGACAAAATAAGATTACACTAAAACAAACAAGAGGGGAATTCACTCAATAAGACATACATCCACAACGACATCAGGGAACCACTCAGAAAATTTCATTTAAACTCCTCTTGTTGTCTGCCCAAGAAAGAGAAAGCAAAATCTTTGGGACCATGAAAATTTGATTGTGTCAAATTTGATTCACGCTGAGATTGTGCCAAATCTGATTCATGCTGGAAGTCTAGAAATGGTGAAATACAAAAGGAAATACACAATCATTTAAAGGCCCAGGCCCAGGCATACACTCTTCTAACAAGAATTTTTCTTTTTTAGAAAAGGAAAGAAAGTAAACCCAGCAGGTGACGAGCAGTTGGAAAAAAAAGTGAATAAAGATAATTTTCTGCAGTTCCCAGAAATGCTTTGAGGACACACAGCATGTAGGAATGAGCAAACTAAGACAATGAGTTAACAATAGAAATAACAACTGACATAACCCTGGACACACAAGCCAAACAATTTTTTTTCCCCTTGTCATTGGGCCCAAGAATTACCATTGATTCATTTTGGATACAAAATGTTTTTACCACATTCACTCGTAATGGAGGGCAGGCACACCAACTGGATGAAAACAGAAGGTTATGAAAGGACAATTTATAACAATCTTCACAATCCATGCATCTAATATGTTATGCATTCATTCATGTTCATTACTGATGTTTTTTTTTTCCTCTTAAAAAGAACATGTTTAAAATGCATAACCACTATGAGCAAACTACATGTCAAAACATAAACTTTTTAAGCACATTGTGCATAATCAGCTAGAATAATAATAATAAAAATAATCATAATCATAATAATAGTAGCTTAGATGCTGCACACACATACTGTCTGGCAAGAGTGATCGGGAGAGAAAATATGTTAAGGTCGAAAACTATTCCTCAAATGTCCTCTACATGTTGTTTAAAAGGGAATAATGCAGTCAAGAGGCTAGCATAAATGACTTTGATTTTGACTACAGTACCCTTTTCAAATAAAGAATACAATGATGAAAATGAAGCATTGGTATCAAGGGCCACGAGAACAATTTTGCTTTCATGAATAATGGGATTAGTACAAGAGGGTGTGTTCGGTATTGCATCTCAAATTAATATTATCAGTTCAATTAAATTCCCTTTGGCCAGGGACAACCCGCAAAAAATAACAATCTATAGTAAACAAATAATAATAATAAGCACCAACCTCTAACTTGAAAGTAAGAGATTAAAATAGAAAGAATAGCACAGTTATTCAAGTAAGAAAACAGAGCACTAAGACAAATGATTGATACATAATAATTTGGCTACTTTCATAGCAATTTGTTTGTACGACGACATTCCACACTAGAAAGAAATATTGTGAAACAACAAAACATAGGACTAGTTCGCACAGGCAGAAATACACACTAAAGAGACTAGGTTAATCAAATGGAATTCCATCTGGATGGAAATAGCTCTGAGAAGTTCAATGGGCAGCACCTGTGAGTTCAAAGCATTAAGGACTTTTCCACCTCTTTCCCCTCTTCTAAATGCAGTACACAATGAGTAGCACGACTGGGTCCCAGCAGGAAACTAAGAGCAAGACCATCAAACGTCTGGGCACACATATTATGGGGACAGTAACACATCAGGTTGCCTGCGTCACTCATCCATGCAGGACATTCATCTACCATTATGAGATGGCTAGGTGGTCATAGTCTAGGGAATCTGCACACAAATGATAACTCAGTATCACAAGATACGTAAAACCAGAGAGAGAAGTACAAACAACACAATCATCACACAAACCTTCCTCTATCTTCTAAGTACTCAGCAGGGATCTTGAAGTCTTCTTCTCTCAAATCGTTAGTGAACTGAAAGTCCAGGAATGTAACTTTCGCAGAAATAGTTGGTATGATAGGGACATCTGCAAGATTTTAAATATGTTAGACGAGATCGGAATTTTTAAAGGATAACAAACCAAATAAAAAGTTAACTTTTTAATCTAATATACCAATTTGAACAGGGAATCCAGGGGGTAGTTTAACTCCAATGATATCTCTGAGCCTGCTGTAGTGCTTCAATGGAGCAATGGCTTGTAACACATTCAGGAGCATGTCCACAGACATGGGGAAATCTGGGGTCTGTTGAGAAAGAATTTAATTACAACAACATGATGAAAGAGTGAGGACTTTTACAGGAGAGTCCTATGGGCACTTACCATTGCCACTGTTGCTCTATATGCCTTGGAGGTTTCTTTGCAGATAATAGGTCTCCCCAAGATAGGGTGCTTTCCAGGTTCTGCTGAGATGTATTCTCGCCAGGTTACATTTGACTTAGGAGGTGGAGGCAACGACTTTCTAATAGGAGGTGGTTGCTAAAACAGATTGTGCAGGGCATAAATTAGGAAATAATGTTCAGCCTCAGGGGGATTGATGTAAATTAGTAAAATTTCTTGATACCCACTCCATATTCATCAGGAAGTGCTGGGCCATCTTTCATGAACCAGTCATACACCATTTTATTTTTCTGAACATCTTCCTTAGAGAGATGCTCACGTCGTTTGGAAGTTTTGAATGTAATGCCATGTATTGTGTAGAAGTCTGAATTATAATTTCCCACTGGTTCCTAAAAAAATATTTAATTTTAACAGAATGACAGATAAGAGAAGAGGAAAACATAGATCAAATTCTTACCGATCGGTCTTCTCTAAAAAGCCATCCCTTCTGAAGACGGGTGAAGTGCATATGCTTTGTAGAAATATGTGCATTGACTATATCAGTGCTCATCAGGAAATCCACCTCTTCCTCATGGTTTCTGTCTGTATCCTATACCAACAAAATACAAACCATGAAATTGTCAAAATTTTAAAAGAAACAAACAAATTGTTTAGTTGATGGAGCTTACCCCAGTATACTGAATCCACTGAAAGACTCCCATATTATTATCAACTATTGCCAAAGAGTGGCTCGTTGGTTTTTCTCCAAAGAAAAATATGCTTAAATCACCTCGAACCCATCTCTTGTCATCAAAATCTACAAGAGTTGTGTCAAGTCGAATATTGGAACCCTTTTTCCGAAGGCGGCACACGTCCGATGGTAGAATTCTTGAAACAAGAGGCACTAAAAGAGATGACACAAAACAGAAGCCTGCATGTTAAGCACTGCCTGCCATACATGAATAAAATGAACAATGAGCAAAACTCACCCCAGCTTTGGAAGTCCCACTTAAAGTTGAGACAAAAATCCTCCATGCCATTTAAAACTTTGGCAAGCTTGGGCATGAAGGAATCTCGTCGATTGTGGCTCAGTATATTAACTTTCCGCAACATAGATGATACTACAAATGTAACGGAGGCAAAGTTTAGTTTGGTCAATTGTGGCATGAATGGTGATGAATATAAAGGCACACGGTAAAAACTTACTTGTTTGCCGATCTCCATAACTTATAGCTTCTGCTAAAGGACTCCAACCATTTAGGTTCCTGATAGTTGGTGAAGACCCATGAGAGAGCAGCAAATGAACCAGCTCTGGAATGGTTTATTCAAATGTGCTTAGAACAATTATAAAGAAGCTCTTGAATCCACCACAACATAGTGAAAGATAATAATTTGGATTTGGCTAAGAAGAAATATTATATAGCATTGTATACCTTTTTTTCCAAGCATGCAGGCCACGTGCAATGCGGTATTGCCTGAAACATTAAACACAAATAATAAAGCTATTCAGGACACTATTATGACAACCTGAACACAGATTAAAGGACAAAAACAAAGGGGAAACCAGATGGGTATCAGCAAATGCAAATGACAATTGAACTGATCAAAATAAAATACGAAACATCTTCTGTAATGCAACCAAAACAAAGTGACTGATTTCAACAACATAAAAAGTAGAACACATCAGTTTAGAAACTATACACAACAAAACTATACAGATGGTTCATAAATCCGGGAGGTAATGACACATGCCAGTAACTTTATATCAAAAAACTTGCTGGAAAAACAGACCAATCGCTCAACAATAAACAACCAGCAGAAGACATCGTTCGAAAAATACTAGGTTAATTAATCTTCGCTTACCATGTTTGTCTTGTTCGTCAACGTTGAACTTTCTTGCAAAAGTACAAAGCAACCTGGCATCGTCAAGAAACACACATTCATGTATGGCACATGAGGCACGTCCTTCTCTTGCACGATCCATTTCATATTCGGTGTGATATTTCCCAATCACTGCTACTTCGTCGCCTACCGCCTCCATGTCGTCCAAATCGTCGTTGTCGTCGTCTATGTCTCCCATCATGGCGGATGAAATGTCGCAGTTTCTGCTAGGCCCCTGGCTGATGTTAATCGATTCTTAGGCTGGGTCGAATAACGTATGTTGTCGGGGAATATCTACACGAAACAACTTGTCGTTTTCTTGAATAAGATCAATGCAAAAATGCGATCGTTGTCGTTATTTACAAATTAAGGCAATGCAGCAAAGCTTAAGCCCCTCGTCTTAAGGTAAGCTCCGCGCGCAGCGCGCTCTATCTACCTCTGGTGGGCACTCATGGAACCTCTTGAGCTCCCAGGCGACTAACCCCAACACTTTTCTGAATAGTTGTCTATGCGATGTCACCTGGTAATTATTTTTCAGTGCGCCCTTTTTAAGCACCGTAATCGTAATAATCCCTTTTGATCGACTCAATTCTGAACTCTTTGCGTTTTCTGGCGACGTCACAGTGCGTCACAGCTGCACAGAGGTGGCGCCGTCTTTTCCTTACTACCAACCAACATGACGTGATTTTTTGAAGAATACAATAAATGCGAAACTAATAATTCGTTTCTAAATCAGGAGGAGTCAAAGGTTTTGTTGATAAAGCGTATGTTTTCTTCGCACCGTCAAAGTATAAGTTTTATACAAAAGACAGACGCCCCGTCGTTGACCGCATTTCATTTTTTCGTGTTGGCCAACAGGAGGCGCCTTCTCCACCCCAATTTGAAGCGTGCCGCTTTGTGGTCAACGCCGTGGAGGTTAAGGACTGAGGTGACAAATGCGACAGAAACAGGGCAATGAACTAGACGGGCTTCACTGGTAAAACAAAGGCATAAAAATTACGCCCTTTAGGGCATAAATACTCTTTTACGCCCTTGCAAGGGCATAAATCGTTTTTGGGAAGGGCGTAATTGGTATAGGAATTTCAAGCAAAATTTTAATGCCCTTCCCAAAGGCATTAACGATTTATGTCCTTTAAGGGCGTAAATCGTTTACGCCCTTAAAGGGCATAATTTTAATGCCTTTGTTTCACCAGTGTTTTCGTCATGTTTCATCGAGGGACGGGAAATGTCAATAAAAACTGCGGTAAAGTAGAGCTCCGGATTATAATTTGCTGTAGTAAGTGTCGTGGACGACCATCTCCTTGACGATATCCTTGACGGAGTTGCATCCGGCGAGTGCCATGGTTCGGTCCAGCTCGACCTTGAGAATGTTTAGCACCCTCTCCACACCGGTCTGTCCACTGTGGCTCAATCCCCACAGAGCCGGCCTGCCGAAGAACACCTGCAACGCATCCACACAATCAACCGACTTTCACAAATCGAATAAGTCACAATAACATAGAACTTCTGGCCACACTGAAAACCTAATAGGGACCTAACTCAGTACAGTCTTAAGTTTTCAGTCCATCCTAGTACACTGACCATGTCGGCACCGAGGGCGAGCGCTTTGAAGATGTCAGCGCCGGTGGAGAAACCGCCGTCCACAAAAACCTGGCACCGTCCCTTGACAGCCCTCACGACCTCCGGAAGAGCTTCGATCTTATAAAAAAAATAAGAGAACGGAACGATTAGTTGAAGCATGTACCACCACTGCCTACGCCGCATCACCACGAGAGACTGCAGAGTCTCTCTAGACTGAAGTGTCCCTCTATGGCAGACTGGAGTGTCTCTGATTTATGAGTCTCTCTAAGACAGACTGGAGTCTCTCCAGCATTTGTCTCTCACTAGGCTGTTTTCTGGACACAACGGAGCATCGTTCCGGGGGGATCCTTACCGAGGCGGGGACGCCGTCCAGCTGCCTGGCGCCGTGGTTGGACACGAAGATGGCCGCGACCCCGAGTTCGGCCCCCATGAGAGCGTCCTCCTTGGTGAGAACGCCCTTGAGCACGAGGGGCAGTGTCGTGAAGCTGCAGAAACGCCAAACAAGAGAATTAGGCCACGCGGGGGGGGGGGAGGAGAGAGAGAGAGAGAGAGAGAGAGAGAGAGAGAGAGAGAGAGAGAGAGAGAAAGGACAATTGCCCCCCTGACCCCAGGTAGCCACCTGAAAGGTAGGAAATAAAAAGTAACACTAATTGCCTCTGTAAATTGGCAAAAAGTGCTACTTTACCCCCCTCCCCCCTCGACTCTGGGGATCCGCCACAGGTAACTCGCGACTGGCTAACTCAATGCCCTCCTTGCCTCTTCAGCCACTCGACGTCCTTCCAGTTAACGGATTGGTCGAAGAGTTTGTTGGTGTACTCGTTGAGCCCCGAGCCCGACTTGGCGCTGGACATTTTGGTCTTCTCCTGGCCGAGGCCCTCGAGGTTGGCGAGACGCAGGTGGGAGGGCAGGGCGAACTTATGACGGGCGTCGGCGCGCCGGTTGCCGAAGACGGGGGCGTCCACGGTTAGGACCAGAGCCCTGTAGCCCGCCTTCTCCGCGCGCCGCACCAGCTGCTCCGTCACGGACCTGTCAAAGAGAAAGTCCATTTTAAAAAAAATAATCCCAAAGCTTCGTTAGGTTTAGACGAGAGTAACACGGAAGCAGACTTTCGGGCATACCTGTCCTTGTAAATGTAAAGTTGGAACCACCTCGTGGCGTCCGGCGCGGCCTCGGCCACCTCCTCAATGCTGGACGTGGACAAGGTGCTCAAGATGAACACTCCGCCCATCTTCGCGACGGCTGGGAGCAGATCAAAGTTGAAAAGTAAGGGGTGGGGTGAAAGCTGTGGCGGTTTGCGTGGGACTTCCCCATTCCAGCCAAGTTGGGGCAGGTTGGGAGCAGGTCAAAGTTCGGGTGAAAACACCGGTGGTTTGCGCGGGACTTGACTTCCCCATCATCCCAGGCAAGCTGGGAGCCTGCATCGTATTACCTCTGACGTTGGCCAGCTCGCCGTCGGGGTGCGCCATCCGCTGCATGGCCGTCGGGGACACCCCGAAGGGGACGGACACCGCTTCGCCGAGGGCAGCGGTGGCAGTGGACCGGTGCGTCACGTCGCGCAGCATGCGAGGCCGGATGCGCAACCTGCGAGGGGGCAAAAACTCGCGCAATCATGTGTACACGGCCCCCGAAATCACACGCGAATCATTGAGAATCACGCGAAATCAAGCAATCCGAAATCAGCCAAAATCACTGAAATCGACCGAAATTAGGTAGAATCACACGAAACCAGGCCAAATCAGTCCGAAATCATTTCTTTCCGAACACAATCACACGCAATCACGCTCAACATCACGCTGGTGCGTCGCGAAATAAGGCAAAATCAGCCATGAAATCAATTAAAACCATGCGCAATCATTGCGTTTTCCGAATCATGTGTACACGAAAATCCCGAGTTTTTGCCCCCTCGGCAACCTGGGGAGTCATTCCGAGAGTCGTTTCCGTCGCTCTGTCTCTCTCGCACCTGCAGGGGACGTCCCTACGGGCGCGCGAGACTGCACTCTAAATGTTGTACAGTGAAGATTCTCCGTATTATGGTGAAAATGTTCCATATTATGGTGGTGCAGCTGACTTCGTTACATACCATTGAGAATTCACTGTACCTTATAGAGATTTTGACGAATTTCGTTGGTATTATGGAGAAAACCGCCACCATATTATGTTGGTGCAGCCTTTCACCGTAAGACATTTACTGTGTGATTGACGAAAACGACTCCCTCTGAATCCGTCTGCTGACGGTTGAGACACTTGGTGTCGGCTTTCTCTCTACTACTAGTACCAATACCCGAGTCCATGAGCACATTACCCGGTCAAGTCCCTCGTACAGACTAACGACATGGATTTATAGTTGTACCTGCATGGATGGGTGTGCGTGTGTCTTTATGTACACATAAAGAAATGGAAACAACTTGTACACTCTACAAACTCAAGTGTGTACATAGTACACTCCAGGTGGAGTGTACTAAGTACATACTTGAGTTTGTAGAGCAGGTGACATTTTGAAATCATCACAGACATGTGTGACATGATTTTATTCCTTTGACTGTGACACTGAGAGACCGCCGAGCTTTTCGGCTGTGCAGTGGCGGAGTTCGGGCGGAAGGGGGAGGGGGGCGAAAGACAACCCCTCCGCTCCCTTGTATCCACGCGATCCGCGACTGGGCATCTGCGCAGTTACCGTACACACGGTGACAGTGGCGGCAAGCTGACGGCAAGCGCAAACACAACACGGTTATCTCGGTCTCAGTTTCCATGCGAGTGAAGGAGCGGCAGATAAGGCTTGGTTGTCAGCCTGGTTCCCCTTGATGCTGTCAGGGGTGCGCTTTTAACTACCCTTTTCCGGAAGGCAAAGACGATCAAGTTGGAGCGGGAGAAGGGGCAAATGCGGGTTGCCTTGCCTGCCCATGGCCTGCCCATCGGGCGCCTCGTAAAGCCCTGTAGCAACTGTAGGGCTCTTAGCGCGTCGCAACAGCCCCTAGGGCTTTTAGCGCCACATTACAGCCCACCAAAATAGTGATTGGCGCCACGGCGTTGGAGCCACGCTACGCTTCGCCATGCGCGCCTTCGCAGGCTTCGCTGTACCTCTTGAGGGCCTCCTTGTTCAGGGAGAGGGTGAGCTCCTCGTCAGCCCCGCTGCGGTAGTAATCCAGAGCGTTGCGAGGCAGGGAGCTGCGAGCCTCCCTCTCGAAGTCGTCCACGCACACGAGCTTGTCCGCCATGTCTATCAGCGAGTCAACTGCGCAGGCCGCCGCCTCACCGGGATCTGACTGGGCTAGCCTGTGCCTGCCTCCGCCCTCCGCGCTCGGCCGGGGCTAACTAACAACTAACAGACCCAATCCGAGGGTCGGTTTAGTGCTCCGCCTCCCTCGCACTCATGGCGCGGCCGGTGTAGGCGTGAGAGAGACAGCGAGAAAGACGACTCTCGGAATCATTCTGCTGGGCCACTTGACAAGCCCCCGCCCCGCACGCCTCCCCTTCCCCATCACCTCGCAGCTCGCAGATAAGGGGCCTTTCGGCCCATCTCAAATGGCACGGATCAGTGGACGCCCCGGCGGGGCGGGCCTGGCAGGGGCCCCGTCCCTGACTCTCGAGAGAAAGATAAGTTCTGTCCGAGTCGATCAGCCCCACCTCAACAAACTTCAGTGTACCCAGGTGCCTATCTTAAAATAGAGACGATTGAAAAACATTGGCATGCAGAAAAAAAAAGGCAAGCGTCATAAATAGACAAGTGCTTTGTTTCCTCCTCAAAAAGAACAACGGTTTGCACAATTCATTGACAAGGATTACATGTTTACAAATGTTGTTTTTTTATTTGCATACTTACACCTTAAAACAATGAATAAATATCTGTATAATCAAGTCAATAAATATTGGTGTGACAATGCTGCAAAATGCAGACCATTTTTTTCGTACGAAAAAAAATTATTTCACCTCAGTATTAACTTTCAAGACTAGGTTCCTCTTCATAACCAAGTTCCTCTTCACAACATCATGGCAAAACTGAGAGCAAAATTACAACTTCAATTTATTCTTTACATTAAAAACCCTTAACATGAGATAAATTAATTGTAGCCCAAAGTTATGAAAATTTGGCAAAAAATAATTTTGGTACAATTTTTTTCTGTACAAAGATACAGCAAATTAAGAATTTTAATAAAAATTGGTTTTGTCTGTTCCTAATCAAGCAGCCATTGACTGCTCTCAGTGCAATCACATCCTACATACAAATCAGATGATAGAAATTAACACAGCACGTATTTGCAATCACAAATGCTAATAATAAAATTATAAAAGGAAAATGAGCAAAGCCATTGGATTCATTAAAACAACAGCCCAAATGCAATGTACAAAAAAAAGGAAAAACAAATCTGACGAAAAAACTTCCACGGAAGGCTGCTCACAGCATGAGCAACAAATAACTTTGCAACTTCAGCATAAACATATATTAAACCAACCAAACAAGATGTAAATGATTTAACAGAGCCATGTCAACAAAAGCCACAGGCAACAACCAGTAGGTTGAGTCTTTAGCCATAAATGGCAAATATATGTTGAACACTTAAGTTATTTTAATTACAAGTCTCAATCAGTCCAAGCATCACTGAATTTCATATCCTAATTTGAAGTGCACAGTCGTCATACGTTTGAATTATGGCATCATATGTATCAAATGAAAAAAATTATGTAAAAACTGACTTTTTTTTTTGGCCAAGAGGACAAAGTGTCAACCTTAGAAAAAACATATCACACATGTAGGTAGTGGACTATCTTAACAATTGAAACACAAGTTGAAACACAAGGTTCAGTCAGTTGAGCCGAAAGCACCGTTTGTAACACAGGATCTTCTCCATCATGATTCATCAATCTGCAAAACAAAAAAAACAAAAAATATGCTAAATTGTAAGGGGCAAAAAAATCAGAAAGAAGTGACCCTGGAAAATTTTTGAAATGATAAAAACACATGACAACCACTAGAGGTTAAGAAAAAGGAAATTTCAATAGTGAGTCAATGATGAGTCAATAACTGAGGCTAGAGAGTGAAAATAAGCTGATGAACATAAACAGTAACTTGTCAACTGAGTAAAATTTGCCAAAGTTGTAATGCATAAAATTTTAACAGAAGTTGAAACAGGATATTGAGAGAGTCAGATTTAACTATGAAAACATAACTGAGAAATTAAAAGGCAGTCTTTAAAAACCTTGAACACAGAAACAACTAACTTGGCTTACTTTTAAAACTCTTAGCAAGTGTTTTTCTCATATAAATTCTTTTCCTCCTCTTGGGTTCGTCTTCTTGTGTCTCACCTTTGATTATTTTGGGGGGTGGAGACTGTTCACTGTTCTTAGTGGGTGCAGTCGAATTGCTGGTTAAGACTCTCCACTGCCACTGGAGCACAGCATCAGGATCAGCTTCTTCTTGCTCGGACTTCAAAAAAATGGACGATGGTGCTTTGGTAGCAGGGCTAAATCCTTTTGGAGTTGTGATACTTGTAGCTGGTACAGACTGATCAACATCAATGACAGTAGAATTATCAGATTCTGTTGTCAGGTCTGTCGATTCAGGTGCTGCGTCAGAGGACAAAGATGCATCAGGTGCATTGCTGTCCAGACCCAAAGTTACATCTGAAGGTATGTCTGGTGGTATGTCAGATGCAACACTTGAGGCAGGGGATACATTAGGTGCTGAGGTGACATCTGGTGCACCTGATGGAGCAGCATCAGTCACCTGTGTGCCGCCTTGGCCAACCTCAGAGACAAGTGCAACTTCAAAAATGGGAGCAACATCTGGTGAGGCATCAGAGCGAGGGGCAACATCTCGCACAGGTGAAAAGTCAAATCGGCCAGGATTGTAGTCATAAGAGTAATTGGATACATCTTCAAAATAACATGGTCGAGTTTTCCTCCATGATTTGACTGGTAACTGAGCTTTGCTTAATTGCTGAGAAGAGGATTCATCATCTTCCACTAAGTCTTCCGGCACAACATCCTAAATAAAAAATTATTATTACTATTAATAACCACAGAAAAAAATGCACTGATAATACATGAAAGAAACTTACCTCTGCAGGGCAAATTGCAACAGCACGGTCTAATGTCATTCGAGCACTATTAGAACGCTCCAAGAAAAAACCATTTGTTGATTCATTAGAATGTGTGGGAGGAGACCAGTTTTTATAGCTGTACTGAGTACTAGGAGCATAAGGGCGCTGAAAGAAAACCAAAAAATAAAACTTTTGCTCCAAATAAAGCACTTTTAATTTTTACACCAAGTAACTTGCACTGAGCGTAACTCACCCGATTCAATTCATCTTGCAGCCACGCTACAGAGAGATCCCACTTTCGTCTGAGTTCTGAACTCTTCTTTAGTTCATTCATTGCAACTTCACACTTTGAGAAGAGGACAACAAGGCACTTGATGCACTGATATGATCGTTTCTGATACTGAGACTTGTTACGCTGTATTGTGGTAAAGAGACCATCCTGCTCTTCAGGTATACCTGGTAAAAAGACAAGTAAATTATCTCAGGCACAGGCTGTCAACTATCAGTAATCTAATCTTAAGGTCATGTAATTTACCTTTAAGTGCATTATTGATACGCTGAATTTGCCAGGAGTCCTCCATTAGCATCATATTTAACAGTAATTGCATATGATGATGAAGTTCATGACAGTATGCGGAAGCTATCTGCCATAACAGTTCACTGAGAACAGTTCTTGAGAACTGAGGATTTTCCCAGCAGCAGAAGTGTAAAAGTTTGACAGTGTCCTCGGATAGATTGGCATCTTCTATGAGCTTCTTTACATATCTACAAAATACATTGGGTAAAAAATGAATTAGGATATAGGCAAAGCTAGGAGAGCTCACCAAGTAATCTAACAAACTGCAAATACTTACGGCTTGCGGCTGAAGAGATACTCTGCCTCTGCAGGGCGAATGGGCATTATGTAATCTTGACTTGAAGGCTCTGCATAGGGGTTGGGAAGAAGTGCTTGACCCTGTTGAATAGAGGAAAGAATATAGGTAAGTAATGAAAAACCACACTGAAAGGCAGCTCTAAAAAGTCCCTCAGTTTCAGAGACAATACTCACAGAATGTGAAGAATTACATTTACTGCTAACATCACAACAGCGAATTAGTTGAGAGACAACTTGATGTAATTTTGTGAGTTCTGGACACTGGTACTTGATATTTGGTCCAGGCCCCTCATCTAATGCAACTCTCATAAATTTAACTGGCACATCCAGCTAGAATCATAAAAGTCACATCAATCACAAAGATAATAAAAGCATTTTCTGGTACAAGAAAATTTCAACTACAAAAAACAAAACTTACATTGAGAAGCTGAGTTCGCTCTTGGATGCCAAGTGAAGCATAGGTTTGAAATAGGGAAAAATAGTGGGTCAAGTTACGCCCATGTTCTGAAACCTCCTTGTCCAACAGATGCAGCACGGCATGAAGGAGATGGTCGCTCAGTGTGGTGTTCGGTTTGTACAGAACAACTGTACAAATTATAAATTATTAGTATCATTACTGGTCGAAATTGGGAAGCTTATAAGCTACTAGGTTGTCTTACCTGGAGCATTCAGATTAGGTGGTCGGCAAGGTCCATCTTGCAGAGAAAAGTGTGCTAGGAAGACTATTATCTTCATGAATGCTGACCTTACTTCAGCACTGGGACAGGCTAACAAGTACTCACAAAACCTATAAAGCAAGAATAAGTATTAATTCAGAAATTAATTTACAATGGCCAGAGTGGCCAGGACTGCTCTTTACCTATGGGGGTGCTGGAACAGAATGTTGGTAGCAAACCACGAACGAACACTCTTGAAAGCCCTTAAATGATGGCACAAGACATCAAACCAATCCATGGCTGCACCTCTCAGGGTTTTCTTTGTGTGGAATCCGGTGTGAAACAAGAAACGAGCAGCCAACTGGACACTCAGCATAGAGAGGGGCTCAGCATCTAAATTCTGAACAATAAAAATGATTGTAAGGTACCAAAATTTGAATTTTTTTTTAAATTTCAGAAAACACAGCAAGCACTAGGCAGATTTTCAGGGACTTAATCAGGAAAAGTTTACTTACAGGTTTATCAGAATTTTGTTGCCTATTAGGAATATTTGAAGAGACTAGTTTACGGACAAAGTGGAAGTACTCTGGTGAGAACTGATTTCTGTTGTGCATAAACTTGATATTCTGTTTGCGCACACTCCTTTCAATGGCCGGTGGCATTTTCATTATGGCAAGCTTGGTATCCGCTAAGAGTAAGAAGATAAATAAATACAATTAAAAGGAAAACAAAAAAAATATAAGCAGCCACTGGCATTGTCAGGTACTCACAAAGAGACAATTCATTGAGACTCTTCATTAGTGAATTTTCTTCAACATCCAGCCTAGTGTAGTAAAGCATGTAGGCATTCCACCATCTCTTCTGACGTCTCAAGCTCATGCGTTTCAACATGTGATCAAATACCTGAATAATTTTTCAATTTTTTTAAAAAATTATTTAATATCAATAGCAGTATTAATGCCACAGTGTCAATTTCACATACCTCCCCCATGTAATCGCCACCAAAACATTGCGTTTTCATTTCTTCTTCATCTTCCATTTTGCATTCAGTGACTTCACCATCATCAAATTTGTACCACTTGGCAGTTCCGTCAGCCTGTCTGTAAATCATTAGCGATTTCAAATTATTTAAGTGCAGTTCAGCAGTAATGAAGCAAGTTCATAAAGACAGAAGCTTTCACAAACCTATTCAAAACATAAGAATAATAGTGTCCCCCGCTGGCTTGTCCACTGTGCACCACAATTCCTGTCAGCTGATACTTAGTGCAAACATCCTTTGAAATCTCATCATAATCACAGTCAATCATTTCCCCCTCCTGTTTTGCAAGTCCCATAACTATGAAAGAAAAAATAATTAAAACGCAATTAAAATATATCTAAGTATGCATTTATCACATATCCACCATAACAAGAGGCAGCAATAATAACATGTTCACCAACCTGTGTAGGGTTCCATGTCTAAATCTCGAGGAAACTCAAAATAGTCATTGAATTTAATAGGGCAAACCCTCTCATAATCATATTCAAACCTCTTCAGTTGAATGGCAAGGATAGGTGGAAGTTTCTTCACACACAGCCTTTTGACTGTGACAACCTGTAAAAACAAATTTAAAAATTACAATGAAGAGAAAAAAATAATCTCAAAAATTAATCTAGCCTAGGCTTGTTTTCTCCTTACCTTCTTGTCACATTTATCACAGTGATATGCATCTCCACCTTCCAGAAGCTCGCCTTTAACATACTGTTCTAAAGAATCCAACAGAGTTGGATGGTTTCTAATTTCCACACTTAGAACACTAAATGATTCTTCCCTAGAATACCTGAAAAAAAAATCACAAGAAACAATAGTCAAGAACTGATACATAAAATAGACATTAAAGGTAAATTAAATCCTTCTACATACCTGTGGGGACACCCTTTACATATTTTTTGGTCTGAATAAGACCCGCCAAGAGTCTTTATCATAATTTGTTCCAAATTCAGGGCTTTTAGGGCTTCATCAACACATTCCACAAGGCTATTGAAAAATTCAACTGCATCTTGCTGTTCTCGCAGGTTAACTGGCTCACCTTGTAACCTAGATAACCCAAAATTTAATAGATTATAAGTTAAAATATTTAGAAGTCGTGCAGAAATTATTGAAATGCAAGAATAGGACAAGATATTCAAATTAAAAAACAACCCACTTAAAATGTTTCCATAGGCCTTTTGGAACGTAATACTGCAGCTTACTATAAGCCAAGTGTCCAAAGATAGCTTGAACTTGTTTGAGAATACCAATGTTATACTCTTTGCGTGCTTCTTCAGCAGATTTACTATCATCACTAGATTCACTGTCGGTCAGATCTATGTTAATCTGTAAGAGAAGGTAGGGTCAGTCACTGCTTTGGACACAAAGTTCAGATAAATAAGATAAAAGATAAACTCACTTCTACTTCCAGGCGATCCTCTCCACTGAAGTCCTCATTTAAGTCTGTGGCTGCACCATCAGCAGCCAAAATTCCAACACGGATATTTTCAAGCATGTATAGCTGCTGCAGGATTGAATTCATGTAACATGTTGCACCAGCATTCTTAAGCCCCACAAATCCTTTGGAAGGTCTTGGACCAACAGGAGGCAGATAGTCCCACTCAACTAAAGGATCATCTCGTTCTAAAAAAAAGAAAGAAAAAAATAATAAATAAAAAAAAAAATTTTCTTAAAAGGGAGGAAAAGCCTGAAAGGTTAGTCACCTGAATAAAACATTTCAGAGAGCATTTCCACTAATAAGCGCATGTTGTGCACACATTCTACACACAGAGCAGCAAGGAAATCAAATGCCATTGTGAGGGTCCCTGGGGTAGTACAAACTGGAATCGCCTGGTCTTGAGACAACTGCCCTGTTTTCTGAAGATGTAACATCAGGCGTGACGACGGGAATACAAAATCTTCAACCAACTCCTTCAAAAAATAAAGAACAAATAGATATTTAGTACCTTCCTGCAAAACACAAATCTCTTGGATTGCATCGCCCAATAAAGAAAATCACATTACCTTAATAAGTAAAATGCCCTTGGACTCATCTGAACCTAATTCAAATTTTTTCTCAGGAGACATAAAAGACAGCAACTCCTTTGCGATACCCAAATGGCCTTCTAAAACTGCTTCATCCACTTGCGTCTCTCCTGTCATTTTCACATTGGCCTTTAACAAAGTAAAAACTTGGTAAGAACCAACAAGTAACAGACAACAAGTCCACTTTCAAACAACCATTTTAAATGAAAGAAACACATTTAAATGCTCTCAATCTCAAAACAAGCAAACTAACCTTCACTTTTTTCAACCACACAATTTCATCATTAAGAAGGGATTCGGCTTCAGGTAAGGGACAGTTGGACACAAATGCACAGTTTATTAATCGGCAAAGAAGCTGCAAGAAGTAAAATTGCTCATTAGTCATCAATATTGTCAACTTTAAGACCTATACCCTTCCCAAAATGTAAATTACCAATACCTGAAAATACTCATGTGATCTGGATGCATTTTCAACAACAGTGGTGTTTAGCACACTAAACAGAAGAGCAATGAAATCTTGCAAGGGTTGCGATGATGCATTACACCAGGTAAGGATGGTGAGAATTTGATCAACAATGCAAAGCCTAACAGACCTGAAAGAAAAGGTAAGATGTCAGCAAACAATTGAACTGATTTGAGATGCACTTCACACCAACAGAAAAATCTAACTCACCTGTTTTTGCAGAGCAGAACTGAATCAATAATGAACTTATGCCACATTTCATCTTTGGATAGTCTATACAAAATTTTTACATTTAACACTAGAGACATTGATAAGACTTCCAATGCTTCCTTGGAAACTGAGACAAACAGAAACAATCAGGGTAAGGAAAACTCTAGAAAACAACTTTCAGAAATGAATGAGAAATTGGAAAATTGAGCATTTTACCTAAAACATCGTCCTGTTCAAGAGATTTGTCAATGTTTCTTTCATGTAATGCATGCAGTTGGTCAGGTGGGGCATTAGCCATCTCAATACTGCCACTGCTGGCAGCCCAGGCTAAATTGATCACCGCTTGAATTGTGCTCAAGTCAGGCAGTTTACCAGTGAGCGCTTGTACAAACATGGGCCTAGCCCTACTGTGTTCCTCACTTCCTGATCCCATCTATAAAATTGTTTACAAACATGGAAGCATTACTATCATTATTGACACTACAACACATCGTACGCATTACAGATAAGTAAAGGTCAGAACAAACCTGCTTTGCAATGGATGTCCCAAGCTTTACACCGACAGTCCATAACATGGTGTCAGTGGTATTTGGTATGTTATGCATTATTTGTTTCAGTAAAGCAAAATATTGTCGATCTTTATCAGTTTCACTGTCCTCAGTGTTCCTATCCGCTGAATCATTAATGTCTTTGTCATTCTGAGCGGGGATACGATGCTGGGATGAGGATATGATATTATTTAAACTAGATAAATTTTGAGGCTCAAGAAAAGCTTGAAGCTTGTCTTGTGAGAAATCCAAAATGTGGGCAACAACAATAACAACCACAGTCAGAAGTAATTTACATATTTTCAGCAAAGTCAAGTAGGCAGACCTGAAAAAAATATGACTAAATGATAGAAAGAAAACTTAAAAGGGAACTTCAAATCAAATGTAAGAGAAAAATTTACAAACCTCTTGGTTGCAATGTCTGCCGAGGGCAGAAAATTCGGTCTGGTTAGCATATCTAAAATAACTGATGCAACTCCACTTTTCACAAAGTTGTATAGAAACTCCAAGCCTTTGTCTGAAGCTGTATCTAATGCAGGCATGAGCAATGCATACATGACCTGAAGTAGGAAATATTCATAGTAAATAAATTACAATTTATTAAAAGAGTAGTAACAATAAAGAAATGCAAGAAGCATAAAACAGAAAATAACATAGATTTATACTCACTTCTAAATTGTACAATACTTGAGAGGGAGACTGGTGGAAAAACATGTGTTCAATAGTTGGAGGTGGTAACAGTGGAGAGGGTAATGATGTTGTAGTTTGACCAGGAAGGTCACCTCCTATTGGGACACTTTCCTCAACCCCGTTGGCAGCAAAGTTTTTAAATAGAGCTGTAAGACGTTGAACTGTGAGGGTATCTGGAGGGACTAGACTGAGCAACATACGTGCACCATCTCGTAGAGGAGCATTTTTGATTGCACACCCAAGATCAGCAACTTGAAAGAAGAACTGAACATAGCTTGGTTGTTGTGACATAAGCTGAAAGAAAATAGAAAGCAGTTAGCACAGGAGAATAGGGAGGAAAGAGCAATATTAGTGCAATATAGGAGCACAACTTACAACGCCCGGCAAACAATTTTCTGCCTCAGAATTTGGACCATCATAAGGGTGCTGTGGAGAGCCGGTTGAGCTATCAGAGCTTGAATCTGGTGAACTGGGCATATTTGTATTGGATTGACATAGTTTTGCAGTCAAAACAGCCTTATTTCTCAGAGGAATTTGAGAGAGAAGTTTGTGATCTTCGGCTGGATCAAGGATTTCGCCATTGACGAAGAGGTCTAATTTCACATTAACACCGCTAGCTTTGATGCGACGTAGAACTTGACGGCGAAGTGATATAAGCGTGTCATTACTGTGAGTATAGACATCAACATCTTCAGACTGTCTGCCAGGTGTTGAAAACCTAACAATAAGGATGAGGTGCTTTCCCCGACATGATCTCTGAAGAGGCAGAATTTTCCTTTCTCCATTAAAGTCATTATCACATTCACTTATGTACTCTTGCAATACTTTCATGACTCGGCATAATTTAACCGCCTCTGCTTGTAACCTTTTACTGGCCAATACTGGATCTTCATCTGAATCCCCACAACTACTCAGTATTGTAATTGTGTCATAATGCGCACGAAGCCGGCATAAACACTCTGACACATAACTTTCATGAAATTTTACTAGCTGAGTTTGAAGCTGTGGGCCTAAATTTGTATTCACATCTTTGAGAAGTTCTATACCACGATTAGCTATTTCATCAGCACTATTTGTTACCACCTATATATGCAGATCAAAATAACACAAGTTAAAAGGGGTAAGATCCTAAACATGAGTAATTGAAGTCATAAATAACAAGAACTTACCCTCCATAGATATTCAGTGCCAATGAGGTCAACATCATCCATCATAAATGATCTCCGTTTTGCTGTAAGCTTCCCTTCCTTGGTGTTAACTGCTTTGAAAAATCTTTCAAAACACCTGATAAGAATTCAAATGACATTTAGAAAAATATACCAATAACAATGCCGAAATTAAAGGTTTCTGAAGGGGTCACTTTGGTGGCACATACCTCATTCCACTTTCAGTCAGCAATGTGGGATCAAGTTGCAATATATTGTTTTCAAAGAAGTCCTTATTGATGGCTGGGTCCAGATCAGGTTCGTCACCCATGAGCTTAGAAAACCATTTAAAGCATGCTTCTCTATCAGAAGGAAAAACTGCATCCTCGGCCAACGCCTGCCAGATTTGCTTTGCTTGGTCCGCACAAAGCCAAAGTTGTCCATCCTGCTTAACATACAATTGCATACTGTAAAACCAGGCGTGTTTACTCAGAAGTTCACTACCCCCAAGGCATGACCAGTGCATGAATCACAGTCACTATTCCAGATTTTACCATTAAATAATACTTTATCAATTGCACAAGCTTTTCAATACACCCTAAGTAAACTACCTTCTCATTGTCTTGTGACAAAGTGGTTCAAAAGCCCACAGTTAAACTTTATCATGCAATAGGGATTCAAGGGAAAGTCAGAAATGTGTGGGGAAAAGAAAGCAGTTCCCAGGCCATGACTCACCTTTAAGAGGAAGCGCAAAAAGTTTAGCCTATCCTGAACCTGCGCAAGATGATTGAACCGTTTGTCCGGAAAATAGTTATTGGGGTCCAAAGAAACATTTGCTGAAACACATAAGAGATAGTTAGAGAGCAGAATTTTTAAAAATTAGTTCTCTGACTTGGTTGGTCCATATTTCGTACCTTTGGCTACTTGTCTTGCCTTATCCATGTAGGAGGTTAGACTATTCGTTACTAATATCACTAGCATGTGGTTTTGTTGAAGGCGTTCAATTATTTCTTGCCTAGAAATAGAATCAAATAGTTTTAAATTAGAGGAAGGGCTGTGATGTATGTTACTTAATAAGAAATTGCTACTTGAATACTACGTACCGATATGAGGTATGATGACTCCTTTGCCCGTGGTTCATTGTTGGAGTTGGTTCATACAGGCAGCAAATCTCTTTGATTTGTTTCAGAGCAGGTAAGACCCACTTGTCACTGGTTTTTAGCTCCTCCACACATTTATCTAACCACACAGTTTTCTGGGCATCTCGCTCCTGAGACAAAGAATAGGAATAAATCTAGTCAACAGGAGAAGCAACTAACATGGAGACGAAATCATATGGATTTGAAATGTTACCTGAGAGCAGCTGTAGTCTAGGATCTTAACATGCGCTGTCAGTGCTTGATCCATTATCTCATTAGGTACATCATCATCATGAGCTAAATTCCAGAATAGAGTCAAAACTTTGTGAGCCATCACACCATCCTTGTCATCTTCGGCTAACCTCCGAATTAATTCCAAAAGCTTTTCTCGCTGTTTCTTGTCAGCTGTTTTCCAGCTTGCCTAAAAATAGAAGTCAAACATGTCAGAAACAATTAACACTTTCAATTCAAAACTATTTGATCTGCAGGTTAAAATTTTGTTTTACCTGAAAACATTCAAATAAATGATCCAGTTGTTCAGGCAGAAAATCCCATGCAAGTTTTGCCAACAGATCATGAACATTTTTGACAATAGCTTCATGTTTTCCATTTTGAGCAGCCCAAATATTATCGAGGTCTGTGAGAGTCAAGGCTCGCTCTTTAATGACAAACCGCAAGATTTTCTCTAACTTCTCAACATACTGAATTTGATGCATTGAGTCTCTGAGTACAATTTCAAGAACATGATTGTCTTTAATCCATCTCTGTGAAGAAAGAAATGAAGACAATGTTAAAATTAGAGAAAAAAATCCAATGTCTAGAAACCTTTTAAAAGTACGAGGCATCTTGATTACTTACAGCCATGCGTTCCGCGGTCAGCCATTCTTCCTCTTCAGGGCCAGAGTGCCTATGGGGATAGTAGGTCACACTGGCAATGACCTTGTTTACTTCATTCAAAGCACTCATTTTACCGTTGAACGTTGAAATTTGAAGTAGCCTTCAATAGGGGAACAAAACATCAGTAGATTAGAAGAAGTAAGCAGAGTAGGATCATGTTAGAAAAATGAAAGGTACAGTACCTAAGGATTATCTTCAACCGGAAGATTTCTAAATTTTTTATAATCTCTTCTTGATTTGGTATACGAGAAACTAAGCACTTGCATGCTTTTATTATTGCTGATATAGCATCATTCTTGGTGTCATGTTTGGCTTCCTTTTTCAGCTCATCATCAGTCAAATTATCCAGAATTTGTGGTACCATTTCCTGAAAATTGAATTAATAGTGATAATGCATGTCGGCGAATTGAACACTCAGCGCAGCATAATGATCATTGTCTTAACTCACCACAATTGGCATGAGGTATTTTGTAATTGTGTGAGCAGTAAGATGTTCATGGCATAGCCCAAATGGCCTGATAAGAGCATATATTGTGGTCACAGACAGTTTCTGACCATTTTGAAATCTATCTAGCAGAATCTGGAAACCACCCAGATGACCAAACCTGCAATGAAGACACATTTTAATGAAATGAAACATGTGGTAGTGATGTACGTCATAGACATTGTAGACTTGGCTCAACAACTCACTTGTTGATTAAATCCACCAGCCACCCTCTTGGCTGTCTTGTATCAGGTGGACTCCTAGCAAATATCTGTTCATCAGGTATATTTGATCCAGGGGGAACAGTTTCGGAAGGATGTGCACCATTAAATACATGAAATCTAAAACAAAGTTAAGTCAAAGAGATAAAATTGAGATACCGTAATTCAAATTTATCAGGTCACAAGAAGTCCTATCCAGTTAGAACCAGGTGAGGCCCATCTCCTTCTTGAACCCATCAAACACATGAATGGGACTAAAGCTCTTCACAATATTTGTTTTTTTGCTAGAGTCATATAAAGAATCTTAGTGGACTCACTTGCTATTGGGGTTGAACACCATGGCGAGAAGCTCTAACAAAGGAAACCAATCATCTGCTAGCTTGACAACACAAAGCTCTACCAAGCGTTCACAGTTTTGTAGAATACAATGTTGAATATTAAATTTCCAGCTGTTCACAGCATCATCAGTTAAAATCTTGGTAAATGATATGGTGAGGCCTTCTCGAAAAAAACGCTGACATGCTTCACTACGAGTGTCCAATCCTGAAGGAAAAATATAATGAACACAGTCAAAACACACAGCCTAAAAACAAATCTTTGGCAGGTCAATCAGTTTAATTAATAGAAAGTACCTTTCTTTGATAAGTCTATGGCAGCTTGCATGAGTGTTTCCAATTCCTGCTCTGGTAAAACTGGTACAACCCATCTTGGACTGGTTATTTTGTCATCCAGAGTGGCAAGCAAATCATGAGGGAAGTCAGGTTCGCCACTGCCATCTTCTCCCTCAACATCAATTCCACAATCTTCCATGTTCACATCCTGAACTGGCTGATCCTTAATTAAATAGAAATTAAAGGAGTGCAGTGAAGTTTTTGCCACTAGGTTCAAGTTTTTAAATAATAAAATAATAATACTTACATGGCTGCCCACCGGACTGCTGGACTGCCCACTTTCATCTGTGTCAGGTGGAGCACCCTGTCCTCTCGTAGCAATAGTCATAATGTATCTATATTGTAGTGCCTTGGAATACAAACATGTTTCACAAGTGTGGGCAGAACAATGTTCTCTGTTCTCCCACTAAGAGATTGGTCTGGTGTGGTGGCACTAGTAGTGACTATCTGGGTTCAATTTAAAAACTATACTAAATCATCTGAAACAGGAAAAAAAATTGGCATTAAGCGACAGGGACAGAAATTTCACTCCTTACAAAAGAAAACTGATCAGAGAATGATGAGATTGAAATATGCACAAAAGCTGTATGAAGCCGCAAGGGGCAACACATTGATATAGTTGTCCCACCAAATTTGTTGAAGACATTAATTCCAAGTAAAATATTTGTGATGGACTAAATTACTGTTTCCAAACACAAATTTAGAAAGGAAAGAAACTGAGCTTCACTTTGTACAAAACTAAAGTCTTGGATGTGGGGATACAAACATCAGTTATTGTCGTTTTAAATAAATGAACTATTGGCGAAAAGGGTTTTGCTAAGAGACCTTACGCACAGGAGAGAACATTTATCATAACGGCTGTTAATCTTAAACCATCCGAGTGAAGGATGAAATTTACAAATCATTTCTAAATGTAATGAGTAAGTAGAAACAAAATTTGAAATGCTTGCACAAGGGGAATAATCCCTTTATAACCTCCAACTGAGAGTTCCCCGATTTCTATCTCAAAAATGTGCAAGTATGTCGAAGCCGAAAAGTTAAAAATAACAAGTGAATGAAACAAGAATCCTCACCCAGGAAAAATCACACTGAGCAACAAAACATTTACAGAATCTTTTGTTCATAGTGAGAGGGACCTGGTTCAACTTCCAATGGTAAGATTATGACAACAGTAACAATGTAAAATTTGGTTTTCGGTAAGAACAGACCCTCATTTTAAAAAAGGGGCTGCTTCGGACGAGATGTAAAGCAAGCGCAAATCACAAAATTGTACAATTTCAGAAAGATGATACCACTAATGTGTCAATAGTCCACAGAGCTTGTCACAGCAGACTATACTACCAGAGACTCATTCAATGACGCATGGAAACATAGCTCAGTTGTCACAAAGACCTGACATGATAGTGAGACGAAGTACCTGCAGCAGCCAGATTGATTTGGCAAAAAACGCAGGTAATGCGAGCAAGTTGGCCTAATACCTAGCCTAGAAATGGAAAACCGACACATTTGAGTGACAGTCGCCGTGCTCGGATCGCTTCGGTTCACTTCACTACCGGAGAGACGTCTGCCTTCTTAATAATTGGTGGGATTGTGTCAGTGGAGTTTAAGGTTTTAAATGTGTAATTTAACTAGCAATATCATCGCCGGGATAACCTAAACAAAATGGCGACAGATCTCGAGTCGTAGTTTCTCCACGAACTTACAGGAAAATGTTAATTTGACCGTGCAATATAATATATGGGCAACCGCAAAACATGTATGATAGAAGCAGGAATGAAGATGTAACAAAGTCACACCCTTAACATAATCTTACCCTTAAGAATCATATAAAAGGTTCGAGAATTATTTGACATAAATGAAGTGGTACAATAAACACGATAACGAACCACCGGTGACATCCGCGCAAGGATATTAGGCGTCGACCTTGTGAAATGTATCTTAATTTAAGAAAGACTCTTGCGTTCACTAGTTATTGTCCCATTTTTAGGAACTGGGCAAGATGGTGAAGTCAACTTCCCTTTAAGAGGACGTATCTTCTACGTTCCTTTTTTGTTGTGATCGCATGTTTACAATAATACGAACTACTTTCTGACAAAATCAGCTGGCTGGATACTTCTCCCCTCCCTAAAGCTCAAAATAAAGGAGAACTATTATTAAATTATATTGAAAATACTCTGGATCAATTTAGTCACAACCAATTTGTTCATTTGCATCTCCCGGAAAAGACAAGTTCAACCCCTTCTTTAAGGTTGATTAAATCTCACACCCTTCGCGAAAAGAGAAGGGGAAATCTGAGAGGCACTCGGCCCTCCCTACGTCATTTTCATTGCATCTCTCCGTCGACCACGGATTCTTATGATCCAGATATAAACATCAGACACAAAGGTGGGCGGCTAATCTATCTCAACGAGATTCAAATGTTTTCAAGAAACTATCTGATACTTAAAAATGCCCCAAACTATTTAATCCAATGTACCCTCTACAGTCTGGCCATCACTCGAATAGCGAAAAGAATGAGCTGACATTGTTACGACATACATAGGTTATATTTCCAAAGTGTCAACGCCCAATAAAATGCCGTTTTAAAATGATGACTTCATACGTCCCGCTTACATTTCAAAGATATCTCACGGCTCTATTATTTTATAGCAACTTTCAAAGGTTGCCGACATCATGTGGTACTGGATACGGATCTGGTCCAGGCTGGCCAACACACCTGGATTATCCAATCATAAAGGGAAAGAAGTATCTCATAAAACTAAAAAAAAAAACCAAAAAACATTGCAATTTTTTAAATTGAATAGGCAGTTTATTACATGTTTGTGCTAGCTTTCTCAATACTAAACAACAAAAGGGGGTCAGATCAGAACGATTAAGTTGGTAAAGAAGAGCTCGGCGGCAAGGACACGTTGAACTCATTTCATTCGAATGGGGAATCTTGCGCGGACCATAAAAAGCAACTTTTATCTACCTTTTCCTTCAGCAAGCTAAAATTCTGAGAACCATCTTCCATTTCAACTGCGATTCCTTTTGTTCAAAATTCGTCACTGAAGTCAAATTGATCGTAAACCTGAGTCAGAGAAAATGAAAGATTTTCATGAGTTACAACACAGGATTGCTTCCACTGAGAAGTCTTAAGTTTTTGAATTCAGGAATATTGCTATCTTCTATGTACTGAGCTGTCGAGGACATTGGAGGGTTAAAGGTAGCAGACTCATTTAATCCTGTGGAACATCGCAGCGGTAAAAATGCTACTGAATTTTCATGTAGCCCAGTGGAAGTACGAAGTGGCATAAATTCTGCTAAGAGGCCTGCTTTCTCAGGGTTGGAACATTCATTAATGCCTGTAGAGCATCTCAATGGAGCAAACAAATTGGAATTTTCTCCCATATCAGTAAGACACTTGTTCAGTTTCAGTTCGGACTCACTAAGAGCAGTTGAGCATCGCTGAGGTTTAAATTCTTCACTTTCGCTTTGCTTTAGGTCAGAGTTTGATCTGAGACCAGGCCTCAACCTGGCAATTTCTCGAATAATAGGGGCAGGTGATTTAAAACGTTCATTTTCTGGGTTAGCATGACTGAATTGTCTTCTCAGAAGCGGAGCGCCTTTGTCATTCTCCAATTTGCTTGAACAAAATTTTGGTTGGAAGTCAAAGCTTTCACTTTTTCTGATTGCTATCTCTGAATCTGGATGAATTGAAGATGAGCAAAAAGCTGGCCGAAATTCTCTGATATTCTTTGGTGGAATTGGAGTTGGCCACAAATAGTCACACCCGGTTTTTAGTTGTGGCATGTCAACAGTATCCATTTCGTCCAGAGCATCAACTGGGAGGGTATCATCCAAGTTTGTATCATCGCAATCATAGTCATCTGAAGGCTGAAGCAATTTGTGTGGTGATGGCTCACTCAAGTCTCCAGATTCTTCACTTATCGAAATGGTGGCCCAAGAATCACCAACACTATTCAGTGAATCCTTCTTGTTGTAACTTGGCATGCTTCCTGTAAAACACAAAAATTTCTTTCATCTTTTCTGACAAAGTGGAATCATTGATAACTATCAATAATTTCGGAGTAAAAAGAACCTGTGGTAGTTGCAGTGTAATGAGTACAATTAAACTGGCGGATCAAAGGGATGATGACCTTATGGAAAACAGAAACAATAACAAATCTTGTCACTGCTCGCGCATCAAATGCCTCGTGCAAAACACTTGCTCTGCACGCCGCACGCTGCCCCCACCCCTTCCTCCCCTGCCTGGAAGAAGAACACAAAGTGAGACGTGGAGAACGACTGACTCTAGGACTGTTAGGAAATACTGTCCAGGACGTTTCATTGCCGTTGTCCAACCGACACTCACTGGCTTTAGACCCAAGTTCCGTGAAAGAATGAGAAAATTCACCTCCCCGCCTCAACTTTAATTAAAATACCGCGCCATATGCGACAGGCTCCCCACTGGCTCTTTCTGTTGTATGAAAAATTTACAAAGCAGCTAATGTTTTTCGAAGGTGACTATTTATCGAGAAAGCAACGTGAAGGAGTAGCCCAGTGATTGGTTTGTCACATAAAATTTTGTTATCTTTTATAATATTAGTAAAAAAAATAGTGTGGGTACGTTGGATGATTTTTCTAGAGTTGACTCACGGGTTGACCGAGCGCGCAATTTCTCATCAAACACAAAACTGGTTTAGTGTTTGGATGCGCAAAGGGGGAGGGACCAGAGGGAGGGCCACCCACACAGCCCGCCCCCATCCCCTGCACCACCCTGCACCCCTGCAGTGGCAGTGTCGTAGATATGGTAGTCATGGCAGGCGCGAGCATATACGCTGGCATGGATGAACATGAAAGAAAAGTAGTTATTGAGTTTATGCACCTTTTAGAAAAGTCTAAACAACTATTCAATGGGTTGAGGTAAGTTGCTGATTTACCCCCACAACCCCTCGGTAGTGGATTGTCTGCTAGCTCGGGAAATGTCTCTGACAAGAATCCCTTCCTTTTATATCACAACTTCGCTTGACAGTTACAGCAACTTATCCGAAAATAAGAAAGACCTTGACAGTGCCTCGGCCAGAGTGTTGTGTGATTTTAAAATATTTTCATGCGGCACTACGTGATTGGACTGTTTCGGTCTCAAACTCTAGCCACCCTTAACCTCGTCTTTCACTATTAACTCTGCCACTAAATTGGGACCCCTGTTTGCTTTCATACGTCACTGCAGTGTATTATATTGGTTCATCAACATTTATTCCCACTTCGGGTGGGTCTTGAGTATTTTTTCATTGGCTTAATACCATAAGTTAATAAGCCAATAAGATGATGATACAACCCCTAACCTTCAAATTGAAAGAATATTGCATTAGATTCTTAATTTGTAGGAATCGCAACATTGTATGTCCAAAAAAAGAGTTCGCTCATCCGTTTTCCTGCAACATTGGAATAACAATAATTTTTCTCAAATCTTTTTACTGAAGAAACACCTATGTAATATTTTTTCCTAATACTGTACTCAGTATATCAGAACTACATAGAGTTGTCTTTCTGGTGCAGAGATCTACCTCAACATGGTCACAAGCAATGGCAATCCTACTTTGGAAGAACATTCGATATCTATACGAAGTTATGGAAATTCCAACAGCAACACCGGTAAGACTCATTCAAAGAAAATTTCCTTTTCTAGACATCCGTCCTTTGTACTTTGAACTAAATAAATAAATTTGTTGTGCAGGCAAGTTTTAGATGCAAAATATGGATTGAAAAGATGGCAAATAGGAGAAATAGCATCAAAAATTGGTCAGCTCTACTACCATTACTAGTAAGTCACATGCGGATCAGGATAATTATGTTAATTTGTGTCATGTATTGTTTTTTCTAATGAAAACACACTTTGTTCTTCCTTTTTTCCAGCCTAAGAACAAGTGAGACAAATTATTTGAATGAGGCATATTCTTTTTATGCTGCTATTCGTGGCAGGCAGTATTATTCTAGAGCTGCCAAAGAAAACAGGTACATTTCCCATTTATGGCTCATCAAAAACTAATATAACCAGGGCTCGTTCCTTGGCTCGTTCGCTTACATATCTTTGTTCTTTTGTAGGCCTGACCTAATGGTGAAGAAGCTGAGGTACTATGCTCGTTTCATTGTGGTCTGTCTGCTTCTGAAGAGGATGAAACTTGTGAGGGAACTTGTGCTGGTAAGTGTTCATTTGTACAGATTAGGTTGTTCCTAGTTCCTTTCCTGTTTTAACAGCTGGTTTTTACTCTTTGACTATCTTGCTTCAAACAGGAGCTGGATAAACAAATAGTAGACTACACAAGTACATATGAGCCTGATGATCAATTAGAATGGTCATTGGTTTTAGAGGAAATCAAATCTTTCATCAAGGCTGATGGTATTGTAAATGTTATCCATGCAGACTCAAACACAGTTGTACTGTCACACAGGTATTAATATTTTGATTTGTATTTTCTCTTCAGTTTACTCTTCATCCTCTGCTTGTATATTTTAGTTTGTGGATGTCTCTCTACCTTTTGTATTCACAGGCTAGGACCTTTGACCACCCCTCCATGTGAGAAGACCACTATGATGAATCTTGTGCTTCAGGAAATTATAATAATAGGAAATTGTAACGATCAGGTAGCAATTCTGTTTCAACTGTCTGGTTCATTCATTAGTTCAGACTGTCTTTGTCCTCATATATTTTTTTTAAAATTTATTTTTTTTAGGTAAAATTTAGTGAATTAACAATGGATATGTTCAGAATGCTTCAGACCCTAGAAAGAGAACCTCAGGATGAGTTCAATCATATTTATGATTCATCGCCTGCCCCCGGCAGATCAAGTTTTGTAAGTTTATAATCAGTCCTTAGTGAAGCAAGTTTTATTCAAGTCTGTTATGCTCGAATAAATTACTTTGATTCTTAATTTTAGGACAAGTATTCAATGCCAGGTAAGATGCCTCATGAAAATGGAGATGGTTCTACAATGACTGGCAGACCACTCAGAAGAGAAAATCCACATAAATATTTACTTTATAAACCTACATTTAGCCAAGTTATAATGTTCCTGTCATCAGGTAATTATATTTTCTATGCATTCTTATCGGTGGGTGAAAACAGACTCTAATTTTAAATTTGACTTTGCAGGGTTCAAAGAATTACCCTTAAATGGTGCAATGCTGCTTTATTTGTCTGCTGATGGCTGCTTCCCTACTACAAAACATCCTCAAGATTGTTAGTATATTATTTTTGTCACACGATCAACAACATTCTTGTTGGCCTCTTTCTTTTCCTTGTTCTTTTTATATGACATTTGACTTGCTTTACGTTCCATTTTCAGATGGTTATGACCTGGGAGGAGTCCAAACAAGCTGCAAAAAAGAAGATATAATCCATTCCAAAAAAACTTTACAGCTGAAGGAAATGCATTGGTATGATGCTAGTCTAAACAGCTTATGTCTGCATCTGTACTTTTATAAAATTTTATTTAACACTTTCTAATTATTTTATTCTTTCTCCAGCATGTACCCTGGTGATCTGTACCCATTCACTAGAAAGCCATTCTTTGTCATAGTGGATTCAGACAACAGTTTTGCCTTCCAGCATATTCCCCAGTATTTTAATCAGCCACTGGTCATTCTAATGTCACCTCAGGAGTTGCCTATGAAGTTTCAAGGTAACATCACTATTCTAGAAGCTTGCAACTTAACTTATAGTTCTCTGATTTTTAACAAGAATGATTTGTTTTCCAGATCATCATCATAATGGCAGCCTGTTCACATTATTCTTGCACTCACCATTGACTGCCTTTTGCTACATTTGTAGTGTTCCAACCATTCCCATACATCAATGGGAGCGCTGTCAGTCATTCATAGATCGATTTGTTACTGAAGCTAGTAGACTATTTTCACATAGTAGAATAGGTATGTCGTCCATTTTGATTTCTTGATCTATTTTATTCCATTGCTTTAATTCGTTTGAAGGTAATCTTACATTTCTCCGACTGATTCCAGATCCAGCCTATCTACAGTTCTTTGGCGATGATTTTCTTAGACTTCTTCTCCTTCGTTATGTCTTTTGTGATGTGGTGTTACATCTCCATCGCTCTTTTAAGGTAATTATTTCTTCAAATTATGCTATGTTTTCACCTAAATGTGTTTATGTTAACATGATTTGTGATCTATTGTACCTGTGCCCAGGCCTCTTCTCTTCGTCCTCGTTGTCAGCCTCCATTGCCTGAGGGAGACTTGTTGGATCATCCTTCACTGACACATCTTGTCTATGATTTAGCAGCTCACCTTGATGTGCGCAACCATTTTATGGACACTAGTCAAGGGACTGACTGAGGATTATTCCGCCAGACTTCAGTGTTAAAGTAATTTTAACTAGTAACCATGTCAAGTCAGTCTTTGTTTTAACATAACCCAGTCAGAAATATTTCAGTGGGGCACTGACATGTTGTGTCTCAAAGTAACATATTTGTCCACCTTGTTGGAAGCGGCTCATGCTTTGACCAATACTGGTAGTTAACTTCAAATTAGTCCTGATTTGTGAGTTGGTATTTAAATTGCTTTGTTTACTTTTGAATGCATGTGTATTTATTTATTCAATAGTACTGATTTATTCAATGTTTCAAATTTAATTTCTGGCTGGGACCAAAACAATGTCTGCGACACTGAGGAAACCACTGTGAAAACAGAAAATCAAAGTTGAAGAATTGTAGACTTTTGCGTGATGTAGTGATCATATGGTTAAGCACTGATTGGAGACAGAGTAACTTTTGAGTCACCTTACCTTTTGTACAATTTTAATACAGTGTTACCGCAGTACCCAGTTTACTGATAACAATAATAATAATTACCTATGATTATTTTGTAGTATGGTTCAATGCAGTAGGATTCTTCCTAATTTTGAAAAACGTTTCCTAGTGAATGGCAATGTCATCTTTTAATCATGCTAGTCCTCTATTTCATTTGTATTGTATATCTTAAAAAAGCATGTAGGTAGCAAGAAATCCTTGGATTTCTTTGCAAAGGTTGGAATTGAAGCAGTGCATAGCACTAATCATTTGTCATTTGTGTATGCTAGTTGTTCAAGTGGAGGAAATATCTATTTTTTTTAAGAAGTATTATAGTATTGGCAAAATGTTGCCCCCTCTTCTGTTGCAGTTTGAATTTTCATTTCAGTTTTATGTTTGCTCAAATTGAAGCACTGACTCATCCATCCTGAAGCTCCCTGAAGCCCTTGCATGTAATCAAACTTCACTAAGAATACTTGACATTCCATTTTAATTCATGAAAATACCGTGATGATTATTCTGAAATGAGAACCAATTTAGGTAGAATTTACTTTGATTGAATGCAGTATGATAATTTTCTTTTGGGCTACTTGTTTCTTATAATTATGTTATGGTATGTATGCCAACAAGTTCAAACATCAATGAGAAATCGTTGCTCAGTTGATATCTGGACATTTGATTCAATATTTTTTAATCTCAGGATCTTTGACAGAATTCGGCTGTTGAATCGAATCATTCTCAACTGTGCTTGAATTTGGTCTTTTTCAATGGTAATGTACCTTGTGTGTAAGTGATTCAAAATAGTGAGAAATGGACGCTTTCTATTCTTATGTTTTCCATTAGCCTGTGCAGGTGTAGAATTGAGTATGCACCATAGAAGTGCACTTCACTTCTATATAGTTGAATTTTGTATATTTTGAAACTCTGTCATTGTAATATGATATTAAGCCTGGAAACTTTTTCTGAAGCACATTTGTTTTTTAATGTGCTATTTACATGTTTGTCATGTGCACCGAATATTTTGCCTGCTCGGAAGAGGAAGTGTTACATGAAAATTTAAGAACTGTCTCCACTGTGTTTGGTTTGTAACACGTCCCATGTCATTTATAAACATCAATGGACATTCAGTTGCAGTATCCTCTGATAAGCTCTATCTTAAGTACTATGCTGTAATATTTCTCAGATAATGTTCCCCATCCTCTGGTATTGTGCACTTATTGCTATCTATAGCTTTGGTTTATTAGAGGGTGTAAGAGCTAAAGTCAAATCATCAGTATTTCCATGTTGAGGACACGTAAAAGATAAATTATTTTTGTGATAAATCATCTTCCATTTTCCATGTATTGACATAATTTGTTTCATTTTAGATTTTGTTTTGCACTCACTGAAAGCAATCTTGCCTTTGGTCATTTGCCAAAATTAGGAATTAAATTTTAACAGATGTAAGAAATCAACTTAGAAGCAAGCACAGTTTTGCTTTATTTCTTTAAACAGCAATGTAAAAAGTTACATAGAAGCTTTTTATGTGCAATGAGGCGGGCACTGTTTGTTTAATATTTTAAATGGATCCTTAACGTTTATCTTTTCCTAGAAAGATCAAAGCAGAGCTCAAACTGTTTACACTGTTATGTCTTGTATAGCAATCCACATGTGCTTTTATACTACATCCTATCAGACTGTAGTGTAGTAAGCAGTGGCTTCTTTTTACGGATTGTCTACTTTTTATCTTTTTGAGTAATTTTAATGGCCGTTTTCTCCTGAGAATTGGCAAAGTTACATTAGATTAATTTTTAATCTCCTAAAGAAGAGAATACAAGATATGTTAAGGAATGTATATGCCTTTATTGGTATGACTGGAAACTAAACAATAACTTCGGGTAAAGTATCGTTTTATGCTAATAACCTTATACATAGTGTTATCTGATTACTCGTTTTATTTCAAACTTTTCTTGATAGTTTACATATTCTACTGTTCATGTTGATGATCATCTGACATTTTCCTTTTAGTTGGTTTGTATAGCTGGCACTCGTCGTGAAACAATTTCTTTTCTTTTGTAAACTTGTTTTCTTCACTAACAAGAGCATTATTTAAAAAAGTTATTTGTTGTAACCGAGTATAGTGAAAATAATTCAAATTCCAGCCTTATTTTGTGTCTGCTGCAGAATGAGGGACAAAAATTATTGCTTTTGACAAGCATATTGATCTCGATGTCCCAGAAGTTGATACCACTGTGAAGGCACTCTTGTCCGTTTTCTTCTTCATGTCAAATGATATCAACACCTGACATCGTGTGGTTCCGTTTTGATGGGTAGAAAATAACTTGTAACTTGACAGCCTTATATATTTTAAAAATGTTGCAAAAGTTTATTTTTTTCTGAATTTGTAGCTTATTGAACAGGGTTGCATGTTAAAACATGGAGCTTTGATCTGGGAAAGGGTACTGTGTGAATCGAGTACTTTGCGACAACAAGGTAGTAGTTGAACCGCTTTGCCATTAACTCTCTAATTGATTCTAGTCAATCTAGTAAGTGTGCCATAGCACCTTTGCTGAGCATGACTTGATATATTCTTCTCAATGCATCTAGCTTAAAGTTATTGTTGATGAACAATGTTTATGAAAAAGGAAACTTTTATAATATTTAATAGGTTGGTATCCTCCTACAATTGTACCTTCCAAAGCTAGCTTTCTTTTAAAACCTTTTTTTCCAGAGGTTTGGATCTTGTCCTTTTTTTAAAAAGTGTATTTGTATGTATTTATTTAATATTTATTTCCTTTCAATGATTGTGTGTGTGAGTAACTTCTTAATGTTGTGACTCAGAACATCTGAGTTTTCATAATGTTAATTGCAAGAAAATACACGTACAGTACTACCATGCTTTGTTGCAATTTATGTTACTGCTTGTGTTTTAGATTGAAAGTCTGTCCCTGAAAAGGGTTTGAGAAAGTTGAAATTCCATTGTGTGATTGTGTGTCGTCCTACTTTGATGTTTAGTTTTTTTTTAAATCCAAATCATCATCTTGCATTTAGATTTGTTGCCTTTGTGTGAATTATTTTTTAAAAAACTTTAGCATGATTGCTAAGGAAAGAAGTTCAAGTATTAGTTGCTTGCTTAATTATTTTTTATGATTCTGATCTGAGATTGCTTTCATGTATGTATTGGAGATTGGGCTATGTGCAAGTATTTTTAATGCCAAGTATGCCAGTGGCAGTGGCACTTTTGATTGAATTTTATTGTCAGGAGAGGTTGTTTGTTGGACCGTCCCATCAATGTTCAGGTTTTTTAACCAGACAGATGTGATACTTTAAATAATCAGCTATTAGAGTACTCCTATTTTACTTAACGACTTAAGTTTTATTTGCCAGAGCTTAATCTGTCCAAAACGCTTTTGCCCCATGGCGTTTTCAAAATGGACACAGCTAAGATTTATTTCTGACTTTTTAATGTTTAAGAATCCCAGATGCCAGAGAAGAATTCTACCCTCATAGGCGGTAGCTCTAGAAAAGAATAGGTTCAGTATTGTTTTTTCCCCCTTTAGTTGCCCTTAGTGTCATGTACACGTACACATTCAATATTTGTTCAGAGATGTGAGGCAGATTGGGATATTAAGAGCATCGCTGAATATTTACTAAAATTTTCAAATGAAATTGAGTTGGATTAACAATGTAAACCACGAAAAAAAAAATGAGGCAAAGGAAAGTGAGGATATTGTACTAATCTAGTCATTGAATTTGTTTGATTATACATCTAATTTCTTTAAGTAGTTCCTTGAGTTACATTGTAATACAAAACACTAATTTGCCTCTTCTAGTATTTGTTTCTTTTGTATGTGCACGAAGACAGTTGCAGCCCTGAACATTGCATTAGTTCACACCCTTAAAGTTGTTTGTCCCCATGCTGGTAAAAAAAGTATATTTTTGCTGCACCGACTGGAGGGTTTGTACCCCAGTCATGGCAGATGAAGTCCACGTCTAATATTATTTCGGCATCAATTGTGATGAAAATAATCGCATGCCGTGCTATCGATACCCTTGTGATATTCTGTAAATTATGACATTATATCAGTATTATAATTAAATATACTATTGATCAAAGTGATGAAGTTGCTGAGGTCATTCATCCCAAAGGATTCCACCCCCGTCTCAATTTCAGAGCTGAGCAGGATCATTGCAAAGCACGGTCTACTCGTGGAATCATCATTAGAGCATGCGCCGGACAGGTAGGCAACCCATCACCCACAGCTGTTTTCACCGGGGCAGTCCATCCACTGGCGACCGTGAACAGCGATGAACGGTCCCTGCGGCACGGAACGTAATCGGTCAAGATCGAAGATTGTTAGTGCGCGTCGTTGAGAGGGTCAGTTGAGAACGGACGGCGAAAGAGTTGGTCCACTTGGCTGGGGCCGCGGAGATGGAGGGGCCACTGCAAAGAAGCGCAAACAGCCACAGCGCCGCCATCGTGAAGACTGCAGTGCACTGGACAGCCAACGTGCCGCATCGTGGGCTACGTGTTAGTGTCCAAGGTGGCCTTTCAACCGCCTGTCCACCTGTCGATTCTTTGCGCAGTTCGGGCTTGCCTGGAATACAGTGATGAGAGAGGCTGACCCTCAAAATTCTCTGACACTCGTAGATTCTTCGTTGATGCACGTTTCTTTCACGGTAGATTCAGTGTTTGAGGTCAAGGTGGTTGCGAGGTGGTTGCTTTGGGATCGTACACAACCCTAGGCCTTTGCACGATTTTTGTACGTAGTCCTTCTCATTTCAGCGCATGCTTGGTTTGAGTTCAAAGTCATTTGAAATCTCGCGCCTGTTGGCGCGATTTCAGCGATCAATTTGTATAGAAAATTTCGCGTGCGCAAGAATGAAGACAAATGTGAGAGAAATAATCCACTAAATTTTATCAGCACATGAACTGAGCTCTTAAGGTGATCCCACAACGGGTCGGTCCGTCGCACACGGTCGGTCGAACGGTCACATGGAACATCACTAACCGGTGGCTTTGGTCGGCAAGAGCGTCGCCCAAATCTTTTCATGAGTTTGGTTCCCAAACTCTCAGTTCACCTCACTTCACGAACCTGAAGAATCAGGTAACCATGGGTCTGAGTTTGGGCGGAGACACACCGGGTGATTTGGTGGCGCAGGAGTTCGGTTCAAATCCCAGGTATAGAAATGTTTTCCTCTGTTGAACCTCGAATCCGGTAACTTACCATTACTTCCAAGATTGGCGAGCGAATTTTCATCGTCTCGGTGGCTGGGAGCGCAGAGGAGGTGTTCGCGCTGAGAGACTTTGATTCGAATCCCGGGTGCCGAAACATTTTTCTCAGTTGACTGCATGAATGCGGTACAATTAGCCCAAGTTCAGACTGGTTCACATTAAGGAGAGCCTCGGTGGCTCAGGGGGCTGAGGTGTCGGTCGTAGAGAGAAGCACTCGGGTTCAAATCCCGGCCAAGAGTATGGCTTATGTTTTCCGCCGCGGTGCTGCTTTTGCAGCAGCGTGTCAGATGGGTGGCCTACCTTGACGGCGCGGCTCATACACTGAATTAAAGGCCAGATCTTCCAAACAATTTTGGCTTTTAAAGAGTGCAAAAGAGAGTTCCTGCCGTCAGCCTCCGTCAGCGTGGCAAATGGGTGGTCTATCTTGGTGGCGCTGCTCTCTGTATATCACCTCTAGGATGCAAAAGAGTTCCCGCCGTCGGCTCCCACCCCCCCTACCCCCCCTCCCAGAAGGAGAGGGGAGTAGGGGCAATCATAAAGGGTTAGTAACCTGACCTGGCTGGTAGCGAACCAGGTCCAACGGGAAACATGTGCTGCCGCATGGCCTCCAACCAGCCTCCACGGCCCATCGCTCTGCCACCTGAGCTACGACAACACACCTGTCCGACACGTCCTATCTTAGAGTGATGGTACCGGGGTTGAGAAGTAAACTGAGGAAAAGATTCACTCAACTGGGAATCGAACCCAGTTCTTCCTCCCACCGGCCGACACCTCTACCATATCGACCATCCAGCCACTGAGAAGCAACGCGATCTATCTTAGAGTGATGGTACCGGGGTTGAGAAGTAAACTGAGGAAAAGATTCACTCAACTGGGAATCGAACCCAGTTCTTCCTCCCACCGGCCGACACCTCTACCATATCGACCATCCAGCCACTGAGAAGCAACGCGATCTATCTTAGAGTGATGGTACCGGATTTGAGAAGTAACCTGAGGAAAAAGATTCACCCACCTGGGAGTCGAACCCAGGACTTCCTCCCGCCAGTTGACACCTCTACGAAATCAGCCAACCAGCCACTGAGATGCTGTGCGATCAATCTTAGAGTGATGGTACCGGATGTAAGAAGTAAACTTAGGAAAAGATTCACTCCTGGGAGCCGAACCCAGGCCAGCTAAAGAAAATAAGTTTGTCATTGGGATTCGAATCCAAGTCCTCATTCGAGGCGGCCGCTGCCTCTGCGCCCGGAGCCACCGAGACACATAAGCCTCCACAGCGTTATTGCCGATCGACCGTCCGACCGACCGTCTGCGACCGACCGACCCATTGTGGGATCACCTTTAGTGTATCGATAGGAGTGTCTGTTTGCAAAATTTCTACGCCGGAGAAATCTTTCAATTGGTTTTGAATGTCCCAAATCTAATGGAATTTTTCACAACTTATCTATTTTTTTTCGTGTTGATGGAAGCGTGTCATGTGTCGCCGACAGTCGTGGCCCGGCGAAGGTCTCGGGGTAGAGAATGAATGACAGGTCGCGTAAATGAGACTGTATCACAGCTGGGCATTTTATTTCCGGTTGGCAATCACACTCCCAAATTCCTATTCAGCTTTCTTCTTCGCGATATGAACAATTACCCTACTATTATGAAATCACAGGCAAGTTCGTAATATATGGAGGAAAGGTCCTCAGTAACCTTTTGACCACTTTGTTACACGAATAAATTTCTCAGAGTGATACTTTTGAATCGTTCAACCCTGAGAAATCGGTCGGTATTATGACTGCACACGTCCCTAGTACAATTTTTGAACGAGATCTCTCACAATTTTGCGCCAACGTACTTTCCGTGTGAGTTTATACGCAGCAATCGCACAAATGGACCCTCTCAGTCGTCGCCGAATGAAGAACAAGCGTAATCAAAAAGACAGGAACCTGTAACGTTCCTGGCCTTATGATTATTTGTGGTCTTCACTCAGCGAAGACTGAAAGGGCCTATTTGTGCGATTCTGCATACAAATGTGTACGCAAAAATAAAAACGCATGCTCAAAGTTGTGTGAGATCTCGTGGAAAAGTGAGCATCTACACTTGGCATGTAGAAAGTTGAGCGCCCAGTCTTTTACAGCCAGCCCCAGTCCACCAGGCTCTGCACCGCGTCGCCGAAGCGGCGTCTCACTTCGGGCGAATCTTTGATTTTGTAGACGCCGACTTCGCTGTTCTTCGCCTCGCCGTTGTTGGTCACGTCCGCCAGGGTGTTCTGGATGTCCTTGATGGCGGAGGTGTCGGTGAAGACGTGGACGAAGGAGGCGACCAAGCCGATGGCCATCCGAGACGCACGCTGCATGTGTTTCTGCGCAAAGAAACCCAACATTTTTACCGGTATGATGCAGGCGGCTTGGAGCGTGCGTGGCAAGCAGGGATCCTTAGCTTAACATTTAACTAACACTGCTTTCATAACGTAACTTCTTCAGACCATGTTCGTCAAAGGTTAAGGGTACGGGCTTTTGCAAGTACTTCCAAAAGTATCTCCACACAAATTCGAGACACAAGAAAAATAACTTATCCTTTTAAAAACAATTCAGAAGTTAAGGGTTATAACTTTAACTCGTACGATAACGTTATGATGCCCTTTTGAGGTAAGTAAAGGATCCCTGCTGGCAAGTACACGCCAGCCTAGAGCATGCCTGGCATGTGCACTCCAACCTGCCTGGTGCATGTCTGGAATGTGCACTCGAACCTATTGAGGGATCACTAAGGTGAAGGACAGGCCTCCCTATCAGCCTGCATAAAAAGCTGAGTACGCCACTCCCGTCGGAGGTTCCCCCGACCACAGATAAACTTCGGACAGCTGTTTGGCGTTCTTGGATTTCTGGGAAGGCCGATAGAGAGCCCCAAGCGGTCTGCCACGCCGTGCCTTGCACTCATTGTAGTACGTAGCCAGTCTACCCTCGCTAAGATTTTTCCTCAGAAACGCCTCAATGTAGGCAGTTTGTTAGACAAACGCCTGTAAGTAGGCAAAGACTTGACCTGAGGCATGGCTAAATTCAGTGGGAAACTCACTACACTGAAACTCATTGTGACAGTCAGTGGCAGACCCCTAGGACAGGCCTGTTCGAAATATACCCAGGTATCTTAAGTCACCCCCGTTGACGGTGCATACCTGGAACATGTGCCAGGGGTAGACGGAGTCGGGGTCCTCGATGCCGCCCGCCCTCAGAGTGCTCTGCAGTTCGTCGTGGTACTGCCGCATCAGCGACCCCCAGTGCTCGTCCCGCAGTTTCTTCTCCGTCGTGGTGAGCAGGATGATGGCGAGGTCCGGGGCGGGCCAGGCGTACCGAACGACCTGGAAGTCGATCAGGCAGCAGCCCTCTGCCTCTCCGACCTGGAACAGACGACCGTGTCGAATTTTGATGTGTGCGTTGAGGCTTCGGTTGAGGCTGCAAACTCAACAAAATTCATCAAAAGTGGAAAAAAGGCACACTCCAGGAGCTGATGCAGGTTTTACTCCTGTTACACTGAGAATCCAAACGCTATGAGTATAGCGTCAATTGGTGCAATGCAAAAGCATTGCACATGAAGTGCAATGCCTCCCATTCCCATGCATTAGCATAGGGCATTTTCGGGATGCATTGCACGTAAGGTGCAATATGTCTGAGGCATTGCACGTATGGTGCGATATGTCGACGCATTGCACCATACGTGCAATACTCATAGCGTTTGGAATTTCAGTGTACGTATCTTACAAGCCGGGGTTCGGCGTTCGCTTGAATTCTGCATAATTATTGGCACTTTCGAAAATTGCTTCAAGGCTTAAGAGTTCATCCCCTCTCGTTTCACAATACCCAAAACTTCACAAACTTTTCTAGGCCTTTGAAAGAAATGTAGCTTGCAAGCATGTTCTAACAAAATATTTAGAGCATGCATAAGCTTACAAAGAAAAAGCTTCTTAATTTACAAACTATTTCTTCCTAACAAACTAACATGTTGTGTTGTACCTGATATATGCTCCAAATACTTCTTAAGGTTTCAATCGTCCAATTGAGTACAAGAAACCACGTACCTCATTCGTCTGGAAAAGGATGTTGTTTACGTGGCAGTCTCCGTGAACAACGGTGTTGCCTCCCTCCGGGTCCGGTAGAAGGTAGTCGAAAAAGTCTTCGGTGTACGTGTTGCAAATGTTGTGCAATTTTTCAATCACAGAAGCCGGAAATCTGTCTTTTATCAGGTCTGTAATGAAATAACGGTTTAGATTTCTTGAATTCAGGACATGTGCCTGTGCCAAAACTTGACTTTCCCTTGTGCAAGGCTCCGTGACTTATTTAATTCCAAATCCATTTAACAGTATGTTACTCTTACGGCTAAATTTCAAACTTTAATTCTAAAGTGAAGGCATCCTCTTCATAGATTTCCAACGCTCCCGGACCTTAAACAGGATAGAGCCACTGACATTCTTAATAGAGTTGCGAAGCTGTGCGGCACTCCAATTGTTTCTATTAGGGGACTAAGTATTTCACTCGCGATACAAGTGAAGACACCGAAAAACAAAACCTGGAGAACTCTGGGTTTGATGATGTAGCCAAACACCAAACGTGTGAAGTACACGTATTTTCAGTACACTGAGCTCAAAGGTGAGAATCGAAGTTCTCGCCTCAGTAGCGGTGAGAATCAGAATTCTCGCCATGAAGTGGTGAGAAATTCTTAACTTGTTACATGACTTGCATAAACAATTCATGCCAAAATTTGGTGAGAATTGTGATTTTCACCACAAAACGTTGAGAAATATTTCTCGCTTGGTCGCGATTCTCACCCTTCAGGTTCAGGCATTGTGGCAAATCTCACCGGGAGTGTTGACGGTAGCCTTCAAGAACGGCCTCCAAACTTTTTTCAACTCCTCCAGCCAGACGGGTTCATCCACGATCTTCTTTAGTTCAGCCATGAGGTCGGGGCGTTGCTTGTCCAACACCATGCCTGCCCCGTGGAACCGCGCGAGCTGGAACGTGTTCAAATTTCAAATGCTCAAAAACCGTGTCTAAGGATGAATGGAATAGTACGAATGGAAGTTTTCGGAGTCTCGCTTTAAAATAAGCGCTGGCCATAACGTCATGTGACGCAATGTGAATTTTTTTTTTGCAAATGTTAATGTTATTTAATGTGCTGAAAAAATTTAATGCCCTTCTAAACAGCACTGGTTTATGAACAAAGATAGTAAAAAGACAAACGTGAATTTAACGAAACTTGAGTTTTCTCAAGTTTTGCTCTTTTATTCATATTTTGGAATCTAGAGTACTTTTCTTATTTGACCATTCACCCAGTTACCCCCCATTACCTGTGTTACAAGCAATCGGCACCGCTTCTCATCCAGTGTGGTGCCTCGCTCGGAGATGCCAAAGCCCTGCGGTCGCATGTCCTCCATCACGACACAAGGTGACTGTGAGCGTGAGCCCGTGGGGTATCCCCTGCACAGCGGAAAATTTAAAGTACATTGCGTGAAAAAATTATCCCTTTTATGTCCCTGAAGCCCAAAAAGTTCCATTCTGCTGGGGCAAACACGTTTCAGCAATGTGTTCGCTTAAACGTGCAACATCACTTTTCGGAACCGACGTCATCTTCTGTTTTGTGTTCATGGTACCAACCTAGGCCATGGCAGAGGGTTCTTGAGGTGTGCTACCTCTTCCAAGGCAGGAAGCAGTCTGTTGTAGGCGAAGATCTCTGATTTGAAGACACACTCAATGAAATTTGACTTTTCCATGGACGCCAACGTTGCCTTGCACATGAGGCAAAGTGAGTCATTCTGGTCACAAAACAAAAAATAAATAATCACGCCGATAAGTATTAGCTCTTGCATGATAAATGAGGGCTCTAGCGTTGTAGCACTGTGGCAAAAAGGTACGGAAAATTCTGTAAACAGCAGGCGCGGATCCAGGATTTCCGTTTAGGGGGGGCACTTTTGGCAGATGTGTATCACAGGTTGCCTACATACAGGGGCATGATCGCCGATATTGAGACGTTCCGCCGCATTGACCGTTAAAATAGTATAGTGGGCCATTCCCGCAGCAAAGTACGCATTTGAATACTCTTAATCGAAGTGTGAGTGGATAGCAGGTTTTGAACTATACAAGTCGCGTGGTTTGCGGCGAGCAAAGCGAGACGCAAGCTACCGACCTTGTTTAAATTTGGTCTGAATTTTTGTTCTTTTTTAAGGTTTTTATGTGAAAACAACAGAGCAGAGCGAGCCACAAGCCACTGATGTTTCAAAATTAGGAGTGGCGTTTTATTAGATCTAGAAAGGTTTCTAATAAGTAACCCTACGGGTTTGTTGGCTGAGCGATAGCGAAGCCTGTTACTTCAGTGGGGTTGAAAAGTTTTGTCTGTCTGTCTGTGTGTCTGTCTGTCTGTGTGTCTGTGTGTCCGCACTACTCCTCCTGAACGGCTCGGCCGATCTCAGTGAGACTTTGCACACTTCTTGGGTATGTCCTTGGCTCGGCACACGCGAAATTTCACCATCCTAGCTCAACTGGTTCAGTTTTTATAGCCGAAAAACACCTAAAAAACGGCGAAAAATCGAGCTTTCTGCAGATAGATCACTTCTGGCTAGGAGAAAGGGGGCTCTGGAGGGCGGAGCCCCCCAGCCTTAACAAGTTAAAAAGTGACAAGGGTCAAGGTCGTGTTATCTGTAGATAAAACAACTCTATTTAGAATGTAGGGGGGTCTGGGGGGCGGAGCACCCCAGCATTCAAAAAGTTAAAAAAAAACCGACAATGGACAAGCCATTGCCTGCCGCAGGCAGGCTAGCGCCGCAGGGCCCAAAGGGAGGTACGCCAGGCGTGGATTGGAGGAACAGGCAGCGAGACATCGCGAAGCCTGTTACGACAAGACGCGGTCTGGCGTAAACCTACCTTGTTTATGGGTTAAAGGATGGATGTAGTTATTGCCGGCGAGCGTAGCGAGCCGCAAGCTTCATACTTTCTCAAAATCGAGGCTCAATTTTAACAAGAGTCCAAAGTTTTTAATCTAAAAAGCAAAGAGAAACTCAGATACTTTGCGAGCGAAGCAAACCCCAAGCCATGGGCCATTCAAATTTAGACTGGCGTTTAGTTGAAGAGGTTTCTTATGAAAGACTAAAACAATTTCCCGATAGCAGAACCAGCTACCCAGGTCCGCATCAAACCACCAATACTATTCTATATTCCTATTAGTTTCAAGGCTGTGACTTAGACCGAATCGGCAATTACTTGTGCACCAAGCCTGTTCCATGTTGCGAGCGAAGCGAGATGAAAGCTCCGCACTTCAAATTCAAACTTTCCAATTTTTCCGCTTATCTTTACTCATTCTTTCTTTTGGAAGGGGCCCTTTTTTTTTTTAAAAAAAAAGGGGGGCCCCCCGGGGTTTTTAAAAGGGGGGTTTTGGGTTTGGGGTTTAAAATTTCCCCGGGGTTTTGGGGAGCGAAAAACCCCCCCGGGGGGGGGGGGGGTTTTTTGGGGGCCCCGGGGGCCCTTTTTCCCCCCTTTTTTTTTCCCCCCCCCAAACCCCCCCTTGGGTTTTTTCCCCCTTCGGGGTTTTTTTTGGGGCCCCCGGGGGTTTCCCCCCCGGGGAACCTTTCCGGGGAAATCCAAAAACCCCGGGGGGGTTTTTTTTAAAACCCCTTTTTGGGGGAAAAGGGGCCCCCCGGGGGGGCCCCCCTTTTTTTTGGGGGGGCCCCCCCCTTTTTTAAAAAAAAAAAAGGGGGGGGGGGGGGGGGCCCCCCCCCTTTTAAAAACCCCCAAGGGGGGGCCTTTCCCCCCCCGGGGGCCCCCCCGGGGGGAATTTTTGGGGGGGGGAAAACCCCGGGGGCCGGGGGCCCCCCCCACGAAAACCCCCGGGGAAAAGGGGGGGGAAGGGGGGGGGGCCCCCGGGGTTTCCCCCCCCCAAAAAATTTTTGGGGCCCAATTTTGAAAAAAAAAACCCCCCGGAAAAGCCCCGGGGGGGGCCCCCAACCCCGGGGGGTTTTTAAAGGCGGGGGGGGTTTTTGGGGGTTAAAACCCCCCGGGGCCCAAAAAACCCCCCCCCCAAAAAAAACCTTTTTTTTTCCCGGGGTTTTTTTTTTCCCCCCCCCGGGCCCCGGCCCGAAAAAAATTTCCCTCCCCCCCCCCCCTTTTTTCCCCCCTTTTTCCCCCTTTTCCTTTTTTTTTTTTTCCCCCCCCTTTTCCCCCCCCCCTTTTTCCCCCCCTCTGGGGGGGGGGCCCCCCCCCCCCCCCCCCCCCCGGGGGGGGGAAAACCTTTTTTAAACCCGGGGCCCCCCCCAAATCCCCCCCCCCCTTTTTTTGGGGGGCCCCGGGGGGGGGGCCCCCCCCCCCGGCCCCGGGGGGGGGGGCCCCCCGGGAAAGGGCCCCCCCCCCCGGGGGCCCAAAAAAACCCCCCCAAAAAGGGGGGGGGGGCCCGGGGGGGGGGGCCCGGGGGGAAATTTTTTCCCCCCCCAAAAATTTTTGGGGCCCCCCCCCTTTGGGGGGGGCCCCCGGGGGGTCCCCCCGGGGGGTTTTTTTGGGAAAAACCCCCCCCCCCCGGGGGGCCCCCCCCCCCCCCGGGGGGCCCCTTCCCCCCTTTTAAAAGGGGGGGGGGGGGGAAAATATTTGGGGCCCGGGGGCCCCCCCCCAAAAAAAAGGGGTTTTTTCCCCCCCCCCCCCGGGGGTTTCCAAACCCCCCCGGGGCCCTTTTTTTTTTCCCCAAAAAAACCTTTTTTTCCCCCCTTTAAACCCCCCCCCAAAAAAGGGGGGGAAAAAAAAAAAAAAACCCCCCCCCCCCCCCCCCCAAAAGGGCCCCTTTTTTTCCCCCCCCCCAAATTTTCCCCCCGGGGGTTTTTTTTTCCCCCCCTTTTCCCCCCCCAAAACCCCAAAAAAAGGGGAAAAGGGCGGGGGATTTTTTCCCGGGGGGGAAAAAAACCGGCCCCTTCCCAAAAAAGGGGGGAAAAGGCCCCGGGGGGCCCGGGGGGGAAAAAGGGGGAAAAAAAGGGGAAAAAAACCCCCCGGGGGGGGGGGAAAAAACCCCCCCCCCCCCGGGGTTTTGGGAAAAGAAAGGGGGCCCCCCCAAAAAACCCCCCTTTTCCCCCCCCCAAACCCCCCCTTTGCCCCCCGGGGGGGGGGCCCCAAGGGGGGGCCCCCCCCCTTCCCCCCCCCCCCCGGGGGGGCCCCCAAAAGGGGCCCTCCCCCCGGGGCCCCCCCCTTCCCCCCTTTTTCCCCCCCAAAAAAACCCCCCCCCCCCCCGGGGGGGGTTTGGGGGTTTTTGGGGGGGGCCCCCCGGGGGGGGGGGTTTTTTTGGGAAAAAAGGGGGGGGGGGGGGCCCCCCCCCCCTTTGGGGGGGGGTTTTGGGGGGGGTTTTTTTAAAAATTTTAAAAAAAAAAAGGGGGGGCCCTTGGTTCCCACCCCCCCAAAAAAAAAAACCCCCTTTTTTTTCCTTTTTGGGAAAAAAAATTTTTTTAAAAAAATTTTTTTCCCCTTTTTGGCCCTTTTTTAAAAAATTTTTTTTTTTGGGGGGGCCCCCCGGGGGGTTTTCCCCAAAAAGGGGCCCTTTTTAAGGGAAATTAAAAGGGCCCCCTTTTTTTTAAAAATTTTTGGGGCCCTTTTTTTTAAAATTCCTTTTTTTCCCCCGGGGGGGGCCCCTCCCTTGGTTTTTTGGGGGTTTTTTGGCCCCCCCCTTTTTTTTTAAAAAAAATTTTCCCCCCCTTTTTTTTTTTTTTTTTTTTTTTTTTTTTTTTTTTCCCCCCCCTTTTTTTCCCTTTTTTTCCCCCTTGGGGGGGGGCCCCCCCCCCTTTGGGCCCCTTTTAAACGTTTTTTTTTTCCCCCCCCCTTTTTTTTTTTTTTGGTTTAAAAAAATTTTTGGGTTTTTTTTTTTTTGGTTTTTTGGGGAAAGGGGAAAATTTGGGGGAAAAACCAAAAATTCCCCCCCGGGGGAAAAAAAAAAAATTTTTTTTCCCCCCAAAAAGGGGCCCCCCCTTTTTTTTGGGGTTTTTTTTTTTCCCCCCCCCAAAAAAAAAAAAGGGGAAAAATTTTTTTTCCCCCCCCCGGGGGCCCTTTAAATTTTCAAAGGGTTTTAAAATTTTAAAACCGGGAAAATTCCCGGTTTTTAAAAGGGGGCCAAAAAAATTTAAAGGGGAAACCTTTTTTAAACCAAAAAAGAATTTAAAAAAGGGGGGGGAAAAAAAAAGGGAAAAACCTTTTAAAAAAAAAAATTTTCCTTTTTTTTGGGGTTTTGGGAACACTTGACAATTTCGTACAGAAACGGATGGAGAGTCGGTACTTTGAGGTAGGTTAATTCTCGAGTGACTTTCAACATTAAGCGAGAAAAATAATGTGCAAACCTACATTTTCGGTTTCAGTAAACAATTCTAGGAAAGGGAGGGGGGGGGGTCACACGTAGTGCACTACAGGCCGCGAGTTCATGCACAAGCGGCCCGATGACGGGCAAAGGGGGGGAATATGATGATGGAGATACAGGCTTCCAACCGGAATAGGCTCTGCTCAGCAATTATAGCAACTCCCACTGCCATCTTACCTCGTTCTGTATGACAATGCGGAACAGCACGCTCAGATATCCATCACCGTCGTTTGACCCCTGCTCGATGTGAAACCTGTGCCGCCAAGCAGAATTAATGAGAACGACCCGGCTTCAGTGCCCATCTAACGTGGAATTTTTTCAGAGCCTGCTGCTTGTTGACACCGTAACATGGAAAAGTCGTGCACGAGAGCTGCCTAGCATCAACGATTACATTAAGAAGCAGCATGTTACGATAGCCCAAATGTGCATCGGTGCCTTTCTGGAGAACAAACGTACTCTTGCATTGCTGAGTTTCAAGAGCACTGTAAATACAAGCACTTTGCATCTAATCGACGAGAGCTAAGAATAACACGCGGTTGTCAAGTCATCTCTGTCACTTCGAATGTGAAAAGTTGCCTACATAAAGGCGATAAAAGAACCGAAATGCGAACCCCTTACATTTTCTCAAATACGGCTATTTCAAGAAACAATTTCATTTAAATAGAATGAATTGCGTACATTTTGATGAAATCAATATAATTCAGGAGTGGTAAAGGTCGTCGAAGTGATAAAAGACGTCAGTGCAACACAATTTACATAAAACTTTTACAAATATGATTACTTTTGCTCATTGCTGGAAGCGCACCATTATTGCAATACAAATAGAGTTTCTGAAATGAAAAGCCAATTTCACGCCCGAAACTCTTTTGAGTGCGCACTACAGGTATTTGTAGAATTTTGACCGTGTAACTTGCACAAATTTCTTCATATGTGGAAAATTGCGTAATATTGTGCGTAACAATGCATAAATGTATGCAAATTTGAGCACAGTTAACGTAACCCAGGTTTAAAATCATGCTGCACCACGTGCACTACTGTACATAAACATTTAGCGTGTTGCACTGTTGTTGAAAGCGCAACTGCTGCAATAGACATATAATTTCTTCAAGCAAGAATTCACTTTTTCCCTTGAAACACAGAAGTATTCACAAATCTTCTTGCCTTCAGGTTGGCAGTGTATTGACTACTCACTTAGGATTTTTCCAGCCACGCGCCTGGGCGATGTGCCGCAACGCCTTGTCCACGCTCTCTGGGACGGCCAGGGCCGCCGCTCCGTTCACGGCCATGGTCGGCACCACACTGATTGAGAGAGGCGCGACACACCACTCTTGGCACGCTCGCAGGAGGTGAATGGGTGGGAGTAAGGTCATATGGAGGTGCAACCGAGATGCATGCTGGGAGACCGGGCAGCTAATCCCTCCCGAATCCGTCGCCGGGTGCAGCGGAGGACCGCCTACCTGCCTGCCAGCCTGCCTGCCGGCTTGCCCGGTCTCCCAGCATGCATCTCGGTTGCGCCGACCTATCTTCCATATGACCTTAGGTGGGAGGGGAGTCCTTGGAAAACGAGAAGTATGTTTCTTTTGCTGTCCACCACAAAATCACAAGGTTCACACACGACTTAGTGGGCACAGCCTTCAACATTGCGCAACACACGCGCCTTATCTCTAGACTCCATGTGGCACCTCAATTAAACCCTCTATCGGGCCGCCTCGCTCAACTGATGTGTGATAACAAGACGTCATTCCCCCATTTTATTTTTTTGCAAAGGTGTAGGTTCCTGTTATGTTAGTCTGTGTGCGCCGCGCCCTGCCACTCTATTTCTGGGTAAGAGTAAACTTGTTTATCAAACTTCTTATCTGTTTATAGCATAATTTCCTATCACATTCGTGCGAGATTCTTGTCACCAAGCACGTGTGTGTGTGTGTGTGTGTGTGGTGTGTGCGGGAAGGGAGGGGAGGGGGCAGAAAGGGAGAAAGGGGGGGTAAAAAAAAAAAAAAAGGGGAGAGGGAGAGAGAGAGAGAGAGAGAGGGGAGACGGTTCGCTTCTTATCATTGCCCAAGCGCCGGTCTAGGCTTTGTCTGCACAGTAAACGTGTTTGTACCAGTTAGAACGCACTGTGCGAAAAAACCACAGTGAATCCCCCCGGGTGGAAGGATCTTTAGTTAAACTGTAGTTTCAACTACAGTACCAAAACTGCAGTTCCCGAACTAAAGTTAGTTTTAAAAAGAAACTGAAGACTAAATACAATTCCACTTTGCAGTTGAAATTGTAGTTTTTTGTCAGTTCACAAAGTAGTTTTTGTGCTTTACTTTAAATGGTATAGTTGTTCGCTGTTTAAAAATTTATGCAAGTTTCCTCTTTTTTAAAGTTAGCCTCCCTAAAGAGACAAAGTAACCCAAAGTCTGCGACAAATTTACGTAAACTGACTTGTCGCAAAGGTCCAAAATATTTTGCGCTTACATTTTTTATACTGACATTAAACATTAAAATTGGTCATAAAATGCAAGTTTGTCATGAAGAGGACTACAACTTTACATAGGATTACTCTAAAATTGCTTGTAGTTTAAAAGATGTAGAAAAATTCTTAGTTTTGAATTTTTTTTATTTAAATCTAAATCAAAGTAATTCTGTTAAGTCCTTCATATATCCTTTTAAAAATAAACATAATATTACATGCTAGTAGTATTAAATAACACTTTCGTTGAGTGCAGTTGGAGCAAAACATATTGACTACCGCAAAAATGGACACTTAGTGCATCATCCGCTAGGTGGCGCTAGTGTCGCATCATTTACGTCTTCGAGTTAAAAGTGTCCTTGCAGCCGATCAGAGGAATATTTTTGGATCAAACTCTGTGCAGGGCAAATATTTGAGATGCTATGACTCTACCACAAAAGGATTGACCTCGATAGGTGGAATATTAGGGAAATAACATTGAGTACAACTTTCCTCTCGCGTACGGCTACGGGTCGTCGTTTGGTTAGGCTCCGATCGCTGTGCCCCCAAGTGCATCAGTCCTCGATGCGTAGTACTGTATATTTTATACGAGTGATCATCTCCGAAAGGACGTGACTCCACTCACTATCACCCAAGGTGGAAAACACCTAAGGTGGCAACTTGATTACGGGACTGAGGCTCGATTTTGAATTTTCACTCTCTTTTCGGAAACTGAACCCTCACTACTTTCTTTCTAGTTATTTCAAGTGGCTTTTAAGTTGTTCGAAACTAAGGTTGAACTGCAGTTTGACTGCAGTTTAACTAGCACGAGAATGAGGGAGAAACTATAGTTGTTCCAAATAACTGGTAGTTTTTGCATAGTTAAACTGCAGTTTTACTGCAGTTGACTACAGTTTAACTACAATTTTGTTTCTCTTAGAAGTTACTTTTAACTTCTTCATTTTTTAAATTTTTTTCACTTAAAACAATACATTTTACAACAGAAAAACTCCTGTTTTGTCTTATAGTTTTAACTGCAGATCCTTCCACCCGGGCCGTTAATTTTTTTGCCTGGATTTACTGTAGTTTAGAACACAGGATCTACTGTGCCTGGCGACAGTATTTACTGTACCTGGTACAGGATATTCCGTACTCCACTCCTGTGGTACAGTAAATCCCGTACAAAGTACAGTAGATCCTGTCAAAAAAGTACAGTAAATCCTGTACTCTGAACTACAGTGACAGCTGTACTTATCACTACAGGATTTACTGTGATTTTTTCCCAGAGTGCGTGACCTCGCACAACTCCGAGTACGCGAAATTTTCCGCACAAACTTGTACGCAGCATCACCTGAATGTGGTTGAAATTTTGAAGTGATCTGCGTGAAAAGCGCGCCTAAAGACTTTGCACACTGTAAAAAAATCCGTTCTTGTACGGAAAATGTACAGACAAATATAGTGCGGCGTACGGAAAAAAGTACGGAACGTCCGTACTTGTTCCATAAGAACTCATGTAACCGGGTACGGAAAAATAGTATACAGAAGTTCCGTAGTAGGTCAGGTAAGGACGGTTCAGGCAAATTATTGACCAGATAATGTTCCGTACTTTTTCTGTACTTTTTCTCGCAGTGCACAATGTTTCAACATAGTCTGACACATTATAGCGCATGCGTTTTCAAGTTTTCAAGTTTGCTATAAATTTTGAACATACTTGGGCTATTTGAGTGTACCAATTCGGATGAAAAAATTTCGCGCGAAATTTAAAGTAAAATTGTACGCACAGAAAAAAAAGTTCAACATTTTATTCGCAGATTAATTGTTTTCCTTATGTCTTGGTACACTGTGGTAAAAAGCATCGGAAAATTCTGTAAACAGCTTGTAGTAATTCTCCGTAGCCCCCTTGTCAATATTGTCCGTAGGCTCTTACAGTATTCTCCGTAGGACGATACAGTCTTCCAGGTCCTACGGAGAAGACTGTTCGGCCCTGCGGAGAATACTGTAAGATCCTACGGAGAATCCTGGCAAAATAAAAAACTGAATTTTCCGTACCTTTTTGCCACAGTGTAGAAGAATCGATTTGTAACCTTTCCTCCTTGTTGAGGTTTTTGGGAATGTCCCAAATCGAATGAAACCTTTCGCTATATCTGATAGTTTTTGAATGGAGGGAATCGTTTCATCACGGTAGATGTACAATTTAGTACGTGGTGTTGCGTAACTTTAAACCTTTTAAACGCACTGCATAAAATTGTGCAAAATTTTTCATCAATTTATGCATTTTTACGCATGATCTTATGCGAATTCCACATGTGCAGAAACCATGCCAGTTACACGAGCAAAATTCTTCATAAATATTTAGGATGAAGTGTCCTAGTGGTGCACGCCAAATGTTTATGTACAATTTTGTACGCCATGATTCATGATTTTAATCCTGTAACACAAATTGCATAAAATTGTGCTCAAATTTGCATAAGTTTGTGCATTAGGATTATGCAAATTCCACATATGCACAAGATCGTCCAGGTAACACGAACAAAATTCTACATAAGTATTTGTGTGAAGTGTCACAGTGTGGGTCTAGCGCAGGTCAGAGGGACATAAGTCGCTTCGAGACTATCACAGGTGAGCGTTTTATTTCCGGTTGCCAATCACTCTCAAAACTATAGTCTGTGACGGGCTGAGAGTGTAGGCACCTGCGCGGTCAAAAAGTCGCCTTTGCTGAGCCTCGCTCGCAAAACCGGATGGTCTCACTTAGTTCGTCAAGCCCACTTTGCGCTGTGGTCCCAGCGGCTGCGTGTCGGCCGCCACAGTGCAGGAGCGCCGGCGGGGTAGGCCACCCATTGTACTGCCGCATCACTTGTAAAACTAAAGCGTAGTTGTACGCTTCATTTAAGCGTATGCAAGAGCACTGTAAGCCTAATTAGCTTTGTTTCGACATTTAAATTTGTAAATGTACACCGTTAAAAATCCACTGTAATATTACAACACAATCACCTACAGTAATGCCGTTATAAAACAACAGTATTGTTTTGTGTCTGAACGGGAAACCCATCCAGAAACAGCACTTTCGTTTCATAACAATTTCCTTGTCAAGTAACAACAATGTAATCGTCATTCAAAATAGTTGTGTTGTCGTTGAACAGGTTTCATGTTTAGAAACAGCCTTTTGCAATCTTAAAACATATTTTGTTGTCAGGTTACAGGTGTCTTGTTTAATAACAGCACGATGAAATCAACACAAATGTTGGGAAGACATCGTCGAAGACTCCAAAGAGGTATTGTTTTATTACAATCGAACTGTCAGAAATCAGCACCGAGGGCTACAACATGCTTGTAATAAAACAAGTCGTGCTGCTATCAAACTTAACAGCATAAGTGCTGTTAATTTACAGCACTTTTTTTAACAGTGTAGTTCAGCATCCAATGGGGTACTCCAATGAATCTTGAAACGGAAGAAGAATATAAAAGTAAGCCCTCAATAAACGGTCTGGGCCCAGATTATCACAAGTTTTGGAGTGATAAATTGATAACTACGCTAATAAAGCGATAAATGCGCTGATGCAAACACAATAATTAATGCACTAATAATGCATTAACTTTTTCATAGCGCTACTAATGCAATAAAAATGTCATTGATTTATAAATTTGTTCGTTATTCATCTTGGAAAATCAGTGAGTCTGAGAAATTTACGCGGCTGATGGGGAATGGGGGTCATTGACCGCCAACATATCTCCCAAAATGTCTCTCTCTCGGCGCCCGATCTAGTTTTTCTTCTTCTGGGCCACACTGCAGCACCTCTAGCGTTGCTCACCGATAGCCACATCAGCGAGCTCATTGCCCTGCGGAACAGTTGGATCGAAGGTGATCCAGCCAGGAAAGGATTGTCAAAGCAAAAAGAGAAGTCGCCCACTCTGCGCGATAGACGCTGCCAGCAAT